CAGTTCCTCAAATGGAGAAGTCTCCACTTACATGCATAAAGATCAAAGTACCTCGTGAGATGAACGTTCCTCAGACTGAAAGAACGGTGGGGTTTTTTTTTTTTGGCTACGAAGTAGCAAATTGTGTAAGTTTTGCATGCAAAATATTTACTAATTAAACAGAGGAAGCCGTCTATGTGAAGCAATTCATTTATTAGAGCCTTTCGATCGTACATCGTGAAACCAGAAGCAAAGTAATCACAGCGGCCAATGAAAAAGATATCCGTGCAAATGTCGAAAATCGTGCGTAATATTGTGATCATTAGTCGTTTGTTACCCTTAGCGTGATTTTCGCTATGTTTGATCATAAACAATGTGACTTGAGAAAGTGTCAAATGACACACCCAAAACCAATGATTGACAGTGATAAACGATGGAGCAGAACACGTGAGCGGGGAGGAGACTTTCAACAGTGGTAGCGAGGGGGGGTGTGGTGGATTTCGTTGTTAGCGTTCGGTTATTTATAATAAACGAGAAGAAATTGGGATTTATGTGAGTGTGTTGGTTCAATCTTGGAGGCAATTCCCAACACAAATTTTATAGAGCCAGGGTTTCAATCAGATCCGGTTGCTCGCCCTACCGCTGCCTGTAAGACACCTCACCGCCATCTGTTTAGCCGGCAGACAGGCTCACGTGTGTGGTTTTCGCCTTGAAACATCTGATTTGTCGAGAGCATTAAGTCGTGTCTGAGTTATCTGAGTTGTGTCTGACTTATCTGCCGAAGCCGAAGGCTGGGGCAGCCGTTGCACTCAGACCTCGGTTATAACAATTTACGGCATCATGCTCAACCTTATCCAATAATTGCTTATTGTAACATCGGAAGCTGCTAATGTAAAAAGTGATTGAAAAGCTTGATAAAGTACGACCAATCCAAAGTGATCAAGTCAGAATTGGGTGAAGATTTGCGTCTGCTTTATGATTGAGAGGTTTGCACGAGAGAGAGACGCTTTTTCGTCATGTCACGTGCTTGGGACAAAGAAAACATTTTGGGCTTCATGAGGAAACTTAGACCTTCGGATGATGAAACTTAGACCTTCGGATTTTATGCTCTGGTGCACTACCACTGAGCCACAAACGGACTCTATGGCGAGCAGAGAAAGATCTTTTTTCTTCTGGTCACGAGCGTGGGACGAAGCACTATAAGTTTTCTAAGAAAGAGAGTTTTCTAAGCTAGTCATCTACAGCGTAGTGAAGCAAACACTATTCAATGTTGAATCACCATTCAGTAGTGCCAATCGGGTAACTGTGGCTGAAAATTGTTACTGAGTACGCCACAACCTAAAAAAGTTATTAGTATAGCATTGAATTGGGCCAAAATGGCAATGAACGAACACAAGCTTTTTCTCTTGCAGAATCAAGACAGCAGCCTTCAAATAACCGAGGACCAGGATACTCCCATAGCATTTTCCGAGGAGATAGACCTTCAGACAACTGGTAGGCGACCTGATGGTTTCACTATACCTTTCTTTCCTTGTCTTGTTGCACACCATTGAAGTGTCATTTATCAACCCTCTTTGCATGTCATGTGTTTTATTTAAAGAATGTATCGTAAACATCGTTACCTAAGGACGTTGTTTGCTGTCTTGAATCCTGTTCAACTGATGTAAGGTCTGTTTTAGATCGCCCAGACTTTGCTTTCTTTCTACATGCTTGCTCAGCTTCAAGTTTATTGACGTCACTATAAACTTACATACGTAACGAAACGCTACGAATAAACCGGTTCCGGTTGTTCTTGCCTTCTTACGCATAGTTAAATTGAGGAAATAATTTGTATCTATAGTCAGTATAGCATAGTTAAATTGAGGAAATAATTTGTATCTATAGTCAGGGACAATAAAGATGAGCCTTCTTTAGACTCGAGTGTTACCGAACGTGTTCAAATTATCACAACGCCGACCACGATGGGTAGACGCGGAGAAGATAAAGAAAAGAAAAAGATCAGAGACAGGTTTGTTGCCATTTAATTAAAATTTAAGTAGCACGTAATGAACCTCTTTCGAAATATGCAGTTCTTTCTTAAACTCTCTGCATGGCCGAGTTGTGACGGGTGCTGAGTTTCTACTCTGGCTTTTACCCGTTCAAGCCGGTTGACGCCGGCTGATCGCTGAATTGAACCTCGGTTCACCAGAATTCGTGGAAGCAGCGCAGTGGCCTTTAGTTTTGCGCGCTGGTCTCCAAGGCGAGAAGTCTTGGTACATTATCAGGCCGAGTCCCTGTGTTGTGTTTTTGGACACTGCACTATTTAAACAATAGAGTGTTTCTGTCGAGGAACTATCGGCTGATAGTTGCCCCGCGGAAATTTGATGCTTTAAAACAAATATGCTAGTTTTAAGAACATCAAATTTCCAAGGGGCAACTATGTTCAGAGACATAAACACTCTATTGTTTTTATTGTTCACCACTAAATTTTCTTCCGCGCCTACAGCTTGTCACAAATGTCAATAATTCGCAACCGTACATTGGCTAAATAATACGTCGTACCTGTCAGAATTGAAAAGTCACTGTTTTTCCGATCTGCCTAACTTCGTGGCCGTCAAACTATTCAAAACTTTTCACGGATGAGTACTATCAATCCAGGTATTTTCCGCGGACGGGTACTATCCATCCGGGTATTTTCCGCGGGCGGGCACTATGGGCTGATAGTGTCTCTCGACTGATGAACACTATCGCATCACGTGATCAATTTAAACCAATAAGAACCGGAGAAAATTTAGTGGTGAACTATAAACTCTCACAGTGCCTTTCTCCACCTAAAGTGTAAATGGTTACCTGTGAACTGACGAAATGCAGGGGGTAACCTGCGACATATTATCATCCTTGGGGGCGGGGGGGGGGAATAGAGGCAGTGCTCCCAGTTGCCTTAGGTTGTGTAGACCAGGGTAAGTTGTGGCGCCTCGTGGGCCATTTAGCTCGGGTGCAGACTCCTTTTTTCTTTACACAATTGCAGTTTCTCTTTGACTTGTTAGCTGCATTCTATAAATCATCATTTAGTCTGCAAGCTGCCCTTTGAGATATTAAACCAGTCTACTAGAAAGTGTTTCTATTTTTATTCTTATTTTGGCTTTGGAAAGCTACACTTGTAGAGAGGCCTTCTAATGTTATTTTTGTGGCATGTTTGTTCACGGGCAGACGCTATGATGCTGAGCTCAAGAAAGCGTTTCATCATCTGAGACAAGTAGTGCCGCGTGTTCAGCGGAATTCCACTCGTGTAAGTTTTGTAATGGTTTTTGCCTCCAGCAGTTCTTTTGTAAATCACTTGTTACTTACATTTGTGTTCGTCCGTAGTTATAAAATGGCGTTGTAAAAGTTGTATACTTCTGTTGGGCAAGGCCCCTCTTTTCTTTCCCTTAGGGAACACTTGCACATAACTCCACACTGTCTGCTAATAAAAGCTTACTTTGATTAGTTTGCCTTTCATATCATTTATTATTTGTATTTGTATTTGTATTTTAGGGACAGATTTTGCAAGAGGCCGTCAAGTACATAGGAATCCTTGAGAAGAAAGTTGTAGGTAAAGACTAGTATGTGTGAAGTTAAAGAAATGCTTTGTTGGACACTTCACAACTAATCTTGGACCACTGTCATTTAGATGCAGGGCTGTGGTCAACTTTACAGCCATTAGAGGCTCAAAGGAATGCTCAGTTTCAAGGCGTTACTGAAGAAACCTCTACAGCTAAAGAGAATAATGAAATATTGATGGACAATTTGCTGTCGTCCGTGAGCCACGATGATCCTGATATTTGCAGCAATTTGGGCGTTAGGACTCTAACAGAGGAAGAATGTTGTGAAAATCCCCAAGAAGAAACATCAACGGTGCTAACCTCGCCTCTAATATTAATCTCATCGATGTCACAACCGACAGAAAAAGGTACATACTCTTTTGTTAGTCCTGAAGAAGCTGCATTATCCGTTGATCCTGTGGATACTAACGAAGTGAGTATAACAGAGTCGGAGTTTCCCTTGTCAGTTCCATTACAACAAATCCATTTTTTGAACACGGATCAAAACGACGAGACTTCTGTATTAGCCTTTCAGTCACCAGACCAGCTCTCGTCTCAAGAACTTCACACTAGATTGATTCCTGTGGTAGAAGTCCCTGCCTTCACTGATGACAGTGTCTTCCCGGGGAAGTCCCACGAGGTACAGACGTCCCCGCAGCATGACTCGTTCCTGAGTGCCGTGACAACAATAAGCCAGGAGGGTTTGAGCGATCTTGGTGTCACCTTGTCACCGCTTCTTTCTCCTCTGGGAATTTTGTTCTCTCCTGGAGGGGATCGTCGTCAGGACCCTGCCATCGCTTTTCTGGTGGAGAGTAAGGAAGACACCGACGCGGATTTTGCGATTTCTAGTTCAAGTATTGATCCTACCTCCAACGACGTGATGTCAAGCATTTGCTCGGACATGACTTCCATAGCAGCCTCTGTAGAAGTTACTACAGCACAGATGGGCAAGAGTGCTCTGCGAAGTAGCAAGATAAGGAAAAGTCCAAGATCAAGTTCGATACAAATTGTACCGTCTATATCGCCTAAGCTTGCTGTTCAGTCAAAACGTAGCAGTCCTCGATATCGTGACAGGCGTGTCTTGCAGGATCAAAGTAATTATGAAGAAGCAAATTCTCCTTTGATTGCGAGTGGAAGGGGACGCCGGAGAAATTCGAATAACCGTTCTCCCGAGCTGGCCTCTTTTGATCATACCGACGAGAATCTTTGCTTCGCGATGGACCATAGCCGCACGCCGCCCAGTAGCGTGTCAGGTGTCTTACTCACTGGCAAGAAAAAGACAAGTTCCCGTGCGAGAGAAGGAACGAAGAGGGGGCGGCGTATTTAGCTGTTATCAACTATTCGTTACATACGTATACGCGAGGTAAACGTTTTGAAATGGTATGAATTAGGCAGTTATGACATACATATCTGAAAAGTTGCTGTATATTTTCATTACGCTATGTATCATAAACATAAGAAGGGGTAGGGCGATCAAGCACAGATTCATAAGATCATTTTACTGCCAATGTTCGAAGTAATGTTATCAAATATTGACTGAATTCTACTTTTCAAACTTCTTGCGTTATGTTACATAATAGCGGCAGAGTGGGTAGGAAACACCTCTAAAGGTGTTACTTGTAGTACACGGGAATGCATTATTTCTTCTTCACGTGGTCTAGTCAAATCGCGTCAAAATGAGAAGTTAGCCCGATATCTAAGAAACATTTGGAGGTAAAAACATAATATTCATCACTGTTTCTCTCATTACCTGCGTTTTAACGGGAAGCCAGCTTTAGAGTACATTGGTCATGCGATTCTTGCAACCTGATGTATTAAGTTCACATACATAGATAAGCTCCTTCCACTGAGCCTGAGCTCTACTGGAGTTACCTGCTAACCGTGACTGGAGTCAAGTTAATTGTTCATTTCCACAAGGTAGACGAAACTAGTTTGTAGATGACTCTTTATTCCTTATATTCACAACAATCTTCGCTAAGTAGTGCATCCAGTTCCCAATTGTTTACACCATGTAAAATTGCTGCACATATTAAGATATGACCACAGAATAAAATTTCTAATTTGCCTTGAATCTACACGTACTAAGTTCWGTTAAAACATCGAAGGTAGCACTGAGACCAACGTAGCTGGGCATTCAGAAAAAGTGGAAATACGCTGACCTGATTTGATGTATTTATACCGGTTGTGACAGTATTGTAGACTTTAATGATGGTGAACATTTTTCCCTAAGGCTCGTTGCAGACGCTGAACTTTTTCTGAGCGAAGCCAGATTCCAATTTGAACGAACGAACACCTGTTCCAGAAGTCAAACTCATTCAGCTGATATTGACTCAGTTCCGAAATTCGGCGGTTTCAGGAAAGGTGAAGTATGGCCGTTCGGCGTCTGCATCAAAGCTGTTACTGAGCTGCTCAGAAGTCGGAATTTCCGGCCAAACCGTTCTAAATTAACTCAGATACCGAAAGTTTTGGTTCAAGATCAGGAAAAAATTGAAAGTTCGGCGTATCATGAAACGGGCCTTGGATGCGCTTACAAATTAAGTTATTTAAACCTTACTTCACACTACAAAACATCTTGGTGGACATAATTTAGCTTCAACTACGCTGAACTTATGAAGAACGTGTATGTCCCATTGAATCTTAAATGAATGAAATATTCACTCCTTGATGCTTTCAATAACATGAAAACTGCAATGGAGAGTTAATCTCGCCGCACATGGGACAAGTAAAACGTTGTATATTAATTAATACTTATCACAAATACTTATAACCCGTGCCAATAAGTTACTGTAACACCATATACATGACTGGACTATTTACAGTGTTTACATATTACGCCGTCCACGATAGAGCACTTTTTTTTTTTTTTTTTGCAAATCCTCGTTGAGATAACCGAAGATTTCCCGATTATTCGGTTGCTGTTGGAAACAGGAGGAGCATTTTCAAGTAGTCCAAAACGTCCGTGGAAACGAAAGAATTGTGCTCTCTTCCGTCAGAAAACAATACTTCGCTTTCGTAGTCCAAATGGAACAATATTAAAACTTCAATCAGACTTTGCATAACACAGCTATCATACAAGAAGATAAGTATGTAAGGGTCTTTCAGATACGACGAAATCGTAAGAAAGCTATAGAGAATCCGAAAGGACTACAAACGTACAATACGGCAATAAAAAAGCTACATCACGGTTACTGAAGGCTCGATCACTGTCGCTGTACAGGGAACGAGCTTTCACCCCTCGAAGACACTTTATGGAAGGATCGAATACCGGACTCGAATCGAGCCTGTGGATGCTGCATCTAGAAAAAATCATCCTTGGCATTTTCAATTTCATCATTTGTAATCTGAGTTTTCCTTTTCTGTTCCTCACTACTTCTGTTCCAACAAGATTTATTCCTTCCATTTTTGCGACTTCCTATCTGAACATACTAATATTTTCTTCTGTTTTGCATGTCGAATGAACGATTAAAAAAAACCACCTGACGTAGTGAATAAAAATAATGATAATAGTAATACATATAATAATAATAATAATAATAATGATAAAATTAAAACGAAACATGGTAAGCTAGTTAATCGATACGGTAATATTTTCCTGGATTACCCTTTATAGCAAATGTAAAAAGTTCAAATGCAAGTAAACTATCAAAATTCTTCATACGAGTGAAATACAGAGGGTAAGATTAACTTAGGAAGGGTGGCATAACCAGGTTAATTGTCTCAACACTTCAACATGGCACTAAATGAGCATTAGTTTTACAATAGAGAATCACTTGCAGCTTCAGAGGTAGTAGAGTTATTTTGGTCATCACCGCTATTTGTATTGGGTTGCTTGGCTGCCTCGTACAACTGGTGTAGCTTAGACTTTTCTTTTCTTTCTACCTCTAAACGATTGCGGTAGGCTTCCGCTTCTTTCTGCGCATGCTCCAGCTCTGACCGGTACTTGTCGCTGTCTCGTTGTAACGCGTGCACTTTCCCTTCCAACTCCTTTCTGATCTTGTCCTCCTCAACTTGTCTCTGCTCCAGCAGTTTACGAAGGTCTTCTTGGACTTGCAGAAGAAGGTGAGGGGAGAGAAGTTGCTGCTGCGACTGCTGCTGTTGCTGCTGGATATCGGCTGTTGGTTGAACAGAGGTCTGATAACAGAATAGGTAAATAACAAACACGGTTAGATACACACGGTGTAACCTTCAGCTTTTAATCCAAATTAGTCGGTAAGCATTACAGCTGAGCTCCCCTCCAAACCATGTTGATAACCCTCGATGAGAGAAAGTGCCACGAGTCTTACTCGAGAATACATCACGGTGATCTGGCAAAGGCTCGAGCCCAGCTGACTCGAACCCAGGCCACTGTTTCTTCCACAAATGTGTTCAAGATTGTTTTTTAATTTTATTACCTGGCCTAACTGAGCGACGTAATTTTGGGGTAGCAAGGTCCTTTGAGGAACCGATTGCGCCAGCAGCTGTTGAGCGATGTTTTGTTGTTGCTGATGTTGAGTCCCTGTTGTTTGTTGCTGTTGCCGCTGTTGTTGTGTGTTTTGAGGCACTGGTGTCACTTGACTACCGATTTGCAACTGGCTGTCTGCAAGAAAAACCAACAAATGCTTTAATAGGACGATAGATGGTAAGACGAAACATACTGCGACCATATTACCGAGCTCTGTTCTACTAAGTAAAACATGTACCATAATACAAGGTGGACTAGAACCATTAGCTTCGTTACAGATCGCCTTCTTCTAAAATTTCATCTACACTTTCCGAACCAGTCACTTACTTGCTAAAAGTTGAGTCAATGGTACTGTCAGCGGTAATGTTCCATGTCCAACATTTTGCATTAAATGCGCCAAGTTTATCTGATCCTGCGGCAGCTGTAACTGGACAACCGGAGTCTGCGGTGCAGTTGAGCCAGCTGTTTGTTCCTGTTGAGTGTGCGCAACGGTATCGGGTTGCAAGGAGACTGGGTTCTGCTGTGACTGAGTTGCAGCAGTTCCTGTTTGCTGAAATATGGATTAGGAAAGTACAACTGTCTTAATTCGGTTTCTCTTTACAGTGTTTGTTCGTTCAAAAACTTGTAGGATGAGTACTGTAGATACCTGTGAGGTATCCTGTGTCGCCACTTGTTGCACAAGCTGTACTTGTTGCAATGCAAAGCTGGGGTCTGTCAGAAGCTGGGGCTGAACATGCTGCAAACCGGCTGGAACCTGAAGCGTTATGAACACCTCCTGTGTGCCTGGAATGTTTTGTGAGCTCATGTCCTCCGCTTGTTTTGATTCGCCGGTATCTTGGTGAAGCTGAGTTTGCGCCACTTCCTATCGATTGAGAGAACACAAAATACTATCCATAAAATGTAAAATCAAAACCACCATAGGGAGGAGGACCAAGGGGGAAAAAAAGCGAGACCACTAGTTGAAAGCGCAGAGAGACCGAATGTGCTGTTGCGATTTGAAACTCTAAACAATTATTGGCAGTCCCCTGAAAAACAACGAGAATTTTACGTTTTGTAAAAATTTACGCATCTCATAAGAATTTGAAAATGCGACCTCCGAAGACAAACAGCTTGTCTTATCTCATCTATCAACAAACACTTTCTTCGTCTATCCCTCGGGCAGAAAATATCGCAGGTCAGACCCTGGTTATTTAAAGGTACATTGCATTTTCAACCGAGACGTTATCTGGATAAATAAATCGCAATCCAGTTGTTTATCTGCGGGAGAGTGAGTTAATCTATCAATAGCAATTGGCCATCCAGTGTTGAAATAAACACTGTCGGTTCCTTTCTGTGCAGTACACGCCTTAACGGCATCGCTTTCATTTACTACTAAAGCAAACTTGTATCGTGAACACTCACCTGTGACTGGTTCTGACTTTTTAACAATTCTGCAGCTTGGTTTTGGTCGACTTTTACTTGAGCTAAGTGACAAAAAAGTTTTATTCAACAAAAATGCAACCGTTCACTATAAACGCAAAGCCCTTTTTTTTAGATGATCATCTCGAAAATGAATACACTCAAGGAGTATCATTTGAACCTTCAACCCCTAACAAAAGAGAAACCAACATCTGAGGCATAAGAACATTGGCTGTTGATTTCCCTTGTCAGGACCAAAAGATTGTTCAAAGAACATATACACCTAATTGCAATAAGGTTGTCAGAAAAAAGCCAAAAGCCAAATAGGAATTAATTAGCATTTAATTATCATTGCTTGCAACATTCACAACACACACGCTTCAGTTTCTTGGTGTCATTGTAATCGCGGAAATACAGAATTATGTCTTGTTATGGTGAATGACTACTTAAATAATTATTAAATTATTAAAATACGCAAATGTAAATCACATGGCTAATTAATTCCTATTTGGCTTTTTGCTTTTTGCTTTTTTCTAAAACAACCTTATTGCAATTAGGTGTATATGGTGAATATACATACTGATGTAACGATTTTCAAGGCTTAAGGACCTAAGCAATGGTTTTTTCATAAATACTTCCCCACTCTCGCCCCTCTTGTTCTTCGTTGGTTTTGAATCCTCATTTTGACGATTTTCTATCCTTCTCAACTTAAAGCGTATTTCGATTTGGTACCATAAACCAAAACCAAAGGTATCGCAATAGGCAGTCAGAACGAAGGAGTTATAGCAAGGAGCCAATCAGAATTCTAAGTCAAAACAAACAAACTGAAGCGCGTGAAAACGCGAGCGATTAAGTGGTTATTGTATCTGATTGGTCGAGTAAGTAGCGCAATTTGTTTGGACTAATCACCCAGCGAAGCAAAGCCGACGCAAAGCAACGTTGGATTACTTTCGACACTTTCGTAAATTCCCTTCTGATGAATACAATTCAGCATGTCGCAGAGAGAGCGAAGCAAAGCTGACGCAAAGCAACGTTGGATTACTTTCGACACTTTCGTAAATTCCCTTCTGATGAATACAATTCAGCATGTCGCAGAGAGAGCGAAGCAAAGCTGACGCAAAGCAACGTTGGATTACTTTCGACACTTTCGTAAATTCCCTTCTGATGAATTCAATTCAGCATGTCGCAGAGAGAGCGAAGCAAAGCTGACGCAAAGCAACGTTGGATTACTTTCGACACTTTCGTAAATTCCCTTCTGATGAATGCAATTCAGAATGTCGCAGAGAGAGCGAGTCAAAGATGGCGACGCAACTAAAGGAAAGCCACCTGAGCAACTCACCAATTCCATCCTTTGTAGCTGATGCATTCAGCTCCAACATAACTGAAGGCTGAACTCCTTGCATTGGGGCGAGCATCTGGCTCAGGGCAAGCTGTGTTTGCAGCTGTGTCTGACCTGACCCACCAGGAATTTGGAAAGGGGCCATGATGGATTGGGGTAGAATAGCTTGTGCAGAAGTATTAAGGGACTGCGAACTTGCGGTGCCAAGTGTTACCGTCTTCACCACTGAATCTGCACCACTAGCGGTGCTTGTCGATAAAGGTACATGCACATCCCCAGCAGTTGTCACAGAAGCCCCTCCTTGTTGAAGAGACACGCCTGCTGCACTGGAGAAGAAGGGTGCGCCACTCTGAACCAGGGGCATCAGCTGCGCCCCAGTTGATGCAACCTGCTGAGTGGTCATCATTGGCATCGTGAAAGACAGCGGCAGGGGAGATGTTTGTGCTGGTGATGATAATGAAGACAGAGCGGAGAGTGCTGCGAGGGGAGACGGCATTGGAAAAAGACTTGATGGTGTCAATGGGGTGGCGAAGGTTGGTGTTGTTGGTGGGAGGGTAAGGGGTGTAATACCGAGGGGTTTACCAGCCACAGCTGTTACTTGCTGTGGTGGTGTCGTGGAAGTCGCAGATGTACTGTGGCTTAAGGTGGCAGTGGCAAGTGTGGCCAACGTGTCAAGCACACTAGAGTCTTGTGGTTTGGAGGTATTGGAGGTGCTCTTACCATCAGACAGAACTGCGAGAAAGTAAAAACAAGAGCTCACGCTACCACTGCACATATGCCACGTGCAATGCACAAGATAATTGAAATGAACAAAAGTACCACTTAAAAATAATTAATGTCCAGACTACAACTGAAAGGCAAACGTTTTTGTTGAGAAAAACTGGACTAAGCTTGCTGCCACACCATGATTCTGAGATCACATCATTCTGTAACTGTACAACTACTACATTTACCTAGAATGGTAAATCTGGATGAACATGGCAATGTTATTAAGAAAACGCCTGGAGAGTAGAAAGAGGAAAAGCTACTACAGTTCTCAACAGAGAAATTATATCTCTTGAATCTTTTTTGCTATTTCCAGCTGACTTAAAAACAAATTTAAAGCAATCCTGCAAAGATTACACAGCAAACTTACTGACTGTAAAAGTGACTACATGGCATCATATCGTTTTAGCCATGGCTATAATAAACCACCTACCTGTTGACATTTGGCCCTCTCCTTCACTCTCTGATTTTGCTTTTACAATGGCTGCAGCTGATACCAGAGAGGCAATGGAATTTTCAGTTGGACTGCGTAGAGATGGAGAACCTAGGGAAAAAGTTTTCAAATTAATCACAATTCAACTCACATGCTTCCACTACATTTGCATCCTGTGCACATGCTGTTTTCAACATTTTTCCAGTAATTAAAAATTTTCAAACTACCATAGTCTTAATTCTCATTCATTGTTCTTTTGGATATGCTAATGTATGTAAGACAAATACAAAATTTAATATACTGTGTTGAAAACTTCACAGTCAGTCAAATATCAGAAGCACATAACATACATGTATCTTCACAAGTTTAAAATTGGTGCACTTAAAAATTACAGAACATTTTATGACACCATACATCTTACTAAAAAATTCAGTGGTCTCACATGCATTAAATAACTACCATTTTACCTGATTCACAAGGTCCTGAGGTAAAAACTCAGTACACATTGGAGTGTATGTTATGAAAAAATAACATTGAAAAGCAGATTTCTTGATAAGTGATCCTTGAGTGAACAACTGGAAATGCGGCTTTTCCTAAATGGTCACAGCCCATTTGCCGATAGAAAACAAGGTTAAGTATTCTTACCTTTAAACTTAATATATTATCATTAAAACTGAAAGCAATAAACACCTGCATTAGGGAACTGAGGAGGAGCTGATACTCTTCTTCCACCACCCACAGCAGACTTTGGTGATGTTCCTGGCGTTGTAGCCTTTCTGCGTGCTTTGTTTCCATTTTCTGTGATGAAGTTGTACATGGCAAATCAAAATCAAGTTAAATTTACCTGACTGTCTATTTGACAGCATTTTGAAATGGTTAGGAGAAATTTAAACCAAATATCACAAAAATATTTTCGCTACACTTCACAAGTAACAAGTAAGCCACCAATACTGTGCTAAAACCTTGAAATCAATACAAGATGGAAACCAGAGGTGCTATACTGTGACGTTCATTCAAACAAAGAGGACTCGTAACCTAACAATTTTTCTCCTAGTTAACAATCAAAATTAAAAAGCAAAACTCACTCCAGGAGAATTTTGATTGGTAGTAAAAGGCATTTTTCAGCTTCCCCTTTTAAAGCACACAGCAATGTTACGGGTACTTTATTACAAACAATCGTGATCATGAAATCTTGGGGCTTAACTTGGCATGGTACAAGTAATTGTCACTGATATACCTATGGGTCCCTCAGGACCAGTCCAAGATCCAGCTGTCATTGGAAACTTCTTTGTCCTTTGTCTCTTCTTCATTGAGTTCAATGTCAGGTTATTGCGATCAGCTATAAAACATTTCATGTAGCAAGAATCCAAATTTGAAAACATACATTACACAGGTATATACTATACACTTAATATTTGGTCCAGAGCGAAACAGTTAGTTTTGTCTTCCCAAGAGTCCTGATGTTTCCCAAGTCAAAGTCAAGGGAAACATCAGGACTCAAGGGAAAACAAAACAAACTAAGTCTAGTTTCCCAGTGGACCATACATTACGTGATTATATAGTTATCTATTTAGACTTTCCTTTAAACAATCATATGGCAAAAACATGCTGTTGGGGGGCAACTGTACAATTGTGTCACAGTAGGGATAAATTTGAATTAGTTCAGGGACACATGACCAAGAATTACAGTGCTCATTTTGCTGATTGAACGTCTAGGTATACAACAAATTGTATTACTTAATGGTAGAAGACCAGATAATATGACGTACTGGGCTGGGACAAATCAGAAATTGGGCTGGACAAATGGGCAAGTGAAATGAGTATTCCAACCAACCCTTAGGGCAAATCTTGTATGGAGTCTTGGAGTCTTAATTGACAGTTCTTTTGCCTATATTTTTTCTTTCAGTTTTGCTTTGAAAAACAGTACACTAAAACCCCTTAAAATGTTGGCCTATTATGCTTTGAGAAATAAAAAATGTCAACTTTAAATCTTGGTTTAAAGCCAACCACTCTTTAAACAACTGCTCCCACCCTGTTGATCAGACACTTTTTCATTGTGGAGTTAGTCAACAAAGGACACATTTAGTTGTGGGATTTATCTTATGGTTTAACACTCCCAAGTATGATAAAAATACCTACAGTAACTGTAAATAGCACATGGTGTTTCCAATCCCTGAAAATTATTTTAAGCAATCATTTTTATTGTTCACCCTTACCTTGTCTCTTAAGAGTTTTTGGTAATGTCAAATCCTGATTCTAAGGAGGAGAAATCATAATATTTACTTAAGAGAACAAACACAAAGAAATATGATGATTGTTGGTGTAGCTGGAGAAAAGCAAGTCATAACTTTTTCTAGGTAATATCATTAAATATCACCAGTATCACTGGATGACTTTGTTAGCTTGCAGAGACAATGCTTTGGAAATACAAGTCCCTTATAAATGCATACTGTCCACATCATTTAGTGATGAAAATGAGGCACTTGACTAACAATGGGTCACAAGGATTGAGTGCCCAGCCATTCAAGGCATACAAACAAATATGCACCCATCTTCCAGACAGATGCAGTGTATGCTGGTATCCTGATGGCAGCAAGATCAGCAAGATCAACCAACACACGCACACGCACATAACTCATGTAAAAGCATGAAAAAAGAAGATACATAAAATCTGTCACAACTGTTGCTTTCCAGTCCATGTGAAGGTTAAATTGCCATTACTTGATCAAAATGTTTCAGCAGCTAACCTGATCTGAAGATAAAGCCTGCAACACCTCACTATAGCCTTTAGCTCTGGCGATGTCAACTGAAGTCTTACCAAACTGAAGATGATAAGGTACCAATGCACAGTGTAAGGAATCCACCACAGATGCAAATTACAGGTACATGCTCTACATCAATGGCTTAGGCTGTGAAATTTTACACTAAGTACATTTGCTGCACAAAGTGAGTTAGGTAATTACAACTATCCCATTCTTAAAGCACTCATTTGTTTTCGTAGCCATTTTATTGCTGAAGAAGGTTATGGTAAGTTAACGGAAACGTCCTCACACAAAGTTTTTTAGTCAGTGACAACAAAAAAATATTTATTTATCCCATTCTCCTCAGCACTAATCTTCAACTCTAGGATTTCTTGGTAATAACTTATTTTTGATAGCAATTTCCTTTTACATAACTGTGTTTGAGAAACAACATAAACAAATCTTTTGTGAATGTGTAAAAATTAAATGGCCAAAGCTAAGCATGATAATTATTGCATTCTTTATAATTATAATAAGCTATGCAACTGTGGAATCGTTTTTAAATAAGTGAAACCAAATATAATAATAACAAAGCTAGCAGAGCCATGCAATCAAATTCATTATACATAAGTGTGCTCAAAATACCGACAGTGTGCGCTGATAGCGTGAACAATTGGCTTTGCCAAAAAATTTTTTTTCCGTGTGAGTGGCCATAATGTTAGCGCGGGGAAAAATAATATATTTTGCAACAATAATGGCTACAAACAGAGACTCAGCCCACCAGTCCCAAAACAAAGACAATTTTCCAACCTTTTCCCTTGGGTTATAGTTCTTAAATGAGGCAGAAAAAGAGAAAAACAATGGAAAAGGAGACTCAGCATCAGCACCGTCACGATTTGCTTCACTGTCCAAGGGTGAAATGCAACAAATTTTGACAAAAAGACAGACTGGTAAAACCAAACAAATGACAAAAAAATAAAGAATTTTGTATTTAAACTGCAGTAAAATAAAACCCGAGCTTTCAACAGAAAATTTGAAATAAAACCAATTCCTATTTTGATTAATATTTTGCTTACTGCAAACAATCACTTCTGATATTGTTGTCTGTTTTTTGCATTGGATTTGATGCACAATTCCACCAGCTATGTTATAAAACAATTGGTTCATGAATGCTTTTAGTTGTGCACTATTTAGTTATGGAGCTTGTGGGAAGTTTGGAGAGCACTCAAGAAGCTAGAGTTGCCCTCGGCTATTGCCTCAGGCAACTCTTACACTTTTTTTCGTGCTCTCAAACTTCCCACATGCTCCATAACTCAATAGTGCATGCCAAAGCATGAACCAATTGTTAATTATAGCTCCTTGTTAACTTTGCTTTAAGATTAACCGAATATTTTTTTTTTCAGGATTAAAACTTTCATAACTAGCCTTATGGAAGATTATTTGGTGAAGAACCAGATGGACATCACATGGATTAGAAATTAGGGAGGTAATTCTCACAATTTAGAATTTAATTAGTTGAAAGAATTTCTTACTTGTTTGTTCTCCTTTTCTTAAGCATTAAGCTTAATTAATGCAGATGAAGATGGTATAATCATGCAGAAACATCTTTGATGTGCATTCAAAATAGCCAGAAACATTTTGATTTACAAACAAATTAACAATCACTATTGACAAACAACATTGATAATAATCGGCGCTTCGCTCCGACGAAGGGCTAACGCTTGAAACGTCAGCTTTTGTAATCGTTACCATGGCCAATTTACCATTTAAACTTTGTTGATATATCTAAAACATTAATAATAAGTTACCTTGCTCTTGATATCAATCTTGGCTCCTGCTCTTAGCAAAATTTTGACAATCTCAACATGATTATGTTCACATGCCCAGTGAAGAGGTGTCATGTTTAACTAATTTAAAAAGTAATAATAAAATAATACTTTAAATAACAATAAAAAAACAACTGTCCAGTGAACAAGCAACTGTATAAAAACCAACTTGTCTCCTTTTTTCAGTGAAAAAAAATTCATTATCCCTAGTTATCAGTTACAACTGTCAGAATAAAGCATTTTCCAGACCTAAATTTGTAGAACACCAAATGAATGTATATACTGTATGGGGTCGTTTACATTTTCTTTGATAAATCTAATTTTCCATACCAATTTTTCATATTTAATTGTTTTTATTACACAGTAATTTGACACAGTCATTAATTGTAATCAAACTGGTCTGAGGAATTTTGAACCTTTACGATCCAAACTATAACAGCTATTTTGTAAGATCAAAGTGACTCAAACTCCTTTAAAAACCACATCAACTTACCATATCAGTATTGTTTGTGCAGGCTCCAGAAGAAATAAGAAGTTCAACTACTTGTTTATGACCATGCTGTGCTGCCATGTGTAAGGGTGTTCTGTCAACCTGAGAAATAACATTTCCTTTAAATGTTGTACTTGCTTACAATCCAGTTCACTACAGGTTTATTTGCATCGACCTTACAGATATTTAAGAAAATAGCATTACATATAAATGTATCTCATCATCTCCTTATTTTCTGTACAATAAAAATGTGATACAACTTTATAATAAACATGAACAGAGAATCATGAAATTCATACCTTTGTTCGAGCATCTCTACTGACCCCTGCTCGGAGTAATACTTCTGCTGTCTGGTTATGACCATGCTGTGCTGCTAAATGTAATGGGGATGTTCCAAGCTGACAAGGGAAACAAAACTGTTAACCAAAATGTAGCCTTACTTCATACAAAGTTGTTTAAAAAGGCTGTTGGTTGTAAGAAAAATTTTCATAAGCCTGCCTAAATAAGGCTATGACTGTGCATTGTTCATTGAAGGGTGGAAGTATTTTGTATTGACAACAGGGAAAAATCTCTTTCGACAGAGAAAAACTTTAAAAAAAATGTAAAACCTCAAAGAAAAGAAAGATTTCATCAAATGGATTTCATTGAAAGGAATTCTCTGCACAATTTTAAACTAATAAAATCCTCCACATGAAGGTGAACATTCTCTTCATTCTCTGTATAACACAGAACATCAAAACCTTACAGAAAGGAAATATTTTATTGAAAGGAAGTTCCTCTGCACAATTTTAGACTAGTAACATCCTCCACAGAAAGGTGACCATTCTCTTCCTCATTCTCTATATAACACAGCACGGCACTGAAGAGGGGATACAAACATTCTGGAAGCTGTATCTTGTCAAAAGATTTCAATAAAAGTTTGAGTTTCAAAGGCAAGTTGCAGTTTAAGCTATGTTTGTCTCTGCCTGAATTTTCCAAAGAACTTGTTACTGAGACTAGCTTCTTAGTGCAGGCTGATCAAAATACCTAACCATCAATTTTGCTACATAGACTTGTTTAGTACCAAAATTAGAATTTATTAGCAATGCCATACCCAGTCTGTAGTAAAAGGAGCCCCAGATGCCATGAGCATACTAACTTCATCTGCTTGCCCTTTACGAGATGCCTCTAGCAACCGCTTTCCCAGGTCTACCAGCGAGGACTTTTCCTTCTCCTTCATAATGATCAATATTATTCTGTAGATGAAAGGGAAACCTAAATTTAAAGATTGCAATTTCATTGTTTTCTCTTAACACAAAAAAAGTTTATCAATCTCTTACACCCTAACATTGGTATGCATATTCTCCATACAGTTCTTTGTATATTTCTTAAGGTGCTGACAAGGAGAATTTGTTGAACAATCAAGAGCTTATAATAATTCATTACTTAGAGATTCAGGGGTGATATGTAAGGGGAAATTGGATGCTAGTCACTGTTAAGGATCAAGGGGTTAATAAGGCTGATAAAATCCTTTGTAATTTGAGAGTTGCAGATGAGTGCAAACTGATTGATTTGTATACATTGCAGGTCTGAGTCACATGGACAATGCACATGTAAAATGCGAACACCATTTTTGCATTAAAGCATTTTGAAATGGTTTGATGCTTGTATTTAAATTTTATCATTCTCATTGCCCAATATAAAGCAAAAAATGTCAGTAGAAATCAATCTTTATCACTTTTTGAAGTTTTTGAATGAATGAACGATTATTAACATGGTTTCCTTAAAAAGCAATATTTGCACTGTTGCGTGGAAACGATGTTATAATATGTTAAAAATTAATGGATTTCAGGTTGAAATCATGATTCATTATCAGATTGATTCCAACTTTCCTGTTTAAGAATAGGTAGCAATAATTTGTTTTATAACAAAGGAAAATGTAAAATTAATAATAATTTGGATATATCAACAAAGTTGAAATGGTAAATTGGCCACCGTAACGATTACAAAAGCTGACGTTTCAAGCGTTAGCCCTTCATCGGAGCGAATAGAGGAATTGTGGGTTGTGTGTGCTTTTAAAGGAAGAAAATGGAGCTACGTTATTGGTGGGAAATATTCGATTATTTGCTCCGACGAATGGCTAACACTCAAAATGTCAGCTTTTGTAATTGTTACGGTGGCCAATTTACCATTTCAACTTGGTTGAAATGGAAAATTATTCCTTGTATAATTGTTTAAAGTGATGATGTTCATGCTATGTGCATAGTAATTTCTTATTTTATTCTTTTGAACTACATTGCATTGTCTGAAAAATAACACTTGGAATAAATCACCAACTAAAAGTGTTGGTTTTCTTGGCTTTATAATGCATCTAATTAACATGTTTTTCTCTATTCTATCTTAAGCCAACCTTGTTACTTCTTGGTTTATTTTTTTCTATTTTTCCACAAGTTTAGTCGACATTGAACCAGGTTTTTTCTAACTTTTCCTAACAATTTGTATTAACGTTTCTAAAAGGTTAGAGATACCTTGAACTGAATCACATGCCTGTGTTAATGTTACAATTAAATTACTTTCTAAAATCATCGTTAGAATATGGTCAATTATTATTTTGATACAAACTTTACAAAGAGCTATCAAGAGTATAAACTCTGTACACTTGCACTGAACATGATAACCAAAATTTATTTCAGTCTATACCTAATCTCTACACTTATCTTAAGAAATTTCTCATTGGGAACACCAGGAGGAGACAAATCCAGGAGACTATACAACACCATTTAAAAAAAACCATATTCCGTCTTTCAAATCTACTGAACATCAATCAATTTTAATTGCAATTTTCTTACATCTACGGTGTTTTGTCATACGATTATGGTTTGTGAGTTATGCCTGATGGTTAGAGGTCATAAGCTTCAGATAGAATACACACAATGTTTTCAAAACAGGGAGAGTATGAGCCACAGTATACCCATACTGTTTTGTAATTAACTTTCATGCCGTGTCATCAACAAGTATGAAACTAATGTAAACAGTTCCATTACCATTACCTTTTCCCCAATTTCTTTAAAAAAAAATCTCTAGGTTTGCCAAAATTCAGAATGAAACTCTCCCTCAACAAAAGATAACTCCTGAATTTTATTGAACAAATTTTTAATTAATCGATGATAAAAATCAGAATTCAGATCATTGTAATTCTCTAGCACAAACTACCCCTTACTGTGAACAGAAAGAACAATGGGTAGCACACATACTCCTACGGAGGCAGGGTGTGTGGTTCCTTCCCATGTCTTGCTGCCCTCAAGCCTGATCAATGCAGTACTCATTACCAGCTGTAGATAGCTCAGGCATTCACAGTGATGGCTAATTTTTTTTTGACATGGGGAAAGTTTAGTACAGACATGGATAGTGACTGGAAGGTAAATACAACTGCTTAATGTGGCCCTTGTCTAGTGAGATGGAAAGTAAATTATTTTCTCAGCATCAAAGACACAAGATCTGTATCAAGCTTGGGAAAAAACTCTTAACTTATACCCACTCTATATGACTCAATAATTAATTATTTTATCTTTATGCTCTCTGATAAGAAATACTGGCCACTATACAATCTAAATTATCTTAACTTCCTAGCCTACCTAAACTGCCAGAAGCTGAAAATTAATCTTGTATCTTTAAAATGCTCTTTTTCTCAATATCCTCCATTTCTTTCAATACGTATGCCACATTGTACCGTAACTCGTGAAATTTGGACAAGGAAACCTGAAATTAGAGAAAAAAATATTCGATTATTGTGATTTGAAACTTGGTGACTTGTAGCAAACACTCAGCACAGATGACCCAGATCAAGAAGGCTGGGGGCCAAAGATTCCAAAAGATATAACATGTAATTTAGATGAAACTGATTGGAATGAGGTTGATTTTTCTTGGAAAATATTTCATGATGTTAGTGTTGTTCAGTATTCTATTAGAATAGCTTCATTTCTTGAGGATTACAAAAAAATACTACAGCTAGTTAGAATTTTTTTGAAAAAACATCAACAACAACACAATTTTAAAATGAATGCAATACCATGAAATAATCGACTAGTACCTCAAAAGTATGGATCTTTCCATCACTGAGCTTTAGCTCCATAAGCACTGTTGGTTCCAACACTCTGTTCAGAGCACTGAAGAATAAAAACAGAGAATAACTCCTATAAATACTGTTAAGACTTACAGGCAGAAGAATAATTTTGCATATGTAATAATTAAAAGTAACCTAACATAGTCACATAGAAATTCTGTCAGAGGCTGAGCATCCACTCACTTTTAAATATTCACCACCTTCCCATCCCTTCAAATCAGAAAGAATTTATGTAAATTTAACATGAAAATGCACTATAACAATGTTCAAACATATATTCTTCATGTTGTTGGAAAATTAATATTTCAAACAATAATAAAAATCACCAAAACAAAGTAATTAATAAAATAAAGGCRGATAGTTTCGAAAGAAACTGTCTGGGGCTGCGTCGATGGGAGTAACGAAATAACTTGGATATATCAACAAAGTTGAAATGGTAAATTGGCCACCGTAACGATTACAAAAGCTGACGTTTCAAGCGTTAGCCCTTCGTTGGAGCGAAGGGCTAACACTCGAAATGTCAGCTTTTGTAATCGTTATGGTGGCCAATTTACCATTTCAACTTTTTTAAAATCACTTAATTTGGGTTTACCTCACTCTGTTATTGTAGCTAAGGGTATGTTCATGAATTACCAGGAGTGTTCTGCTTGACAAATATGAACATTTTAAAAGGAAATTTAAAAGTTTTCCATGACCTTCAATGGAGGAATCTGACTCTTCCTTGCTCCTTGAGTTTCCAATCTTTCTGTGATATTAATGACTCAAGAATGGAGGTTTGAGGGAAAAAAATTTTTAATTCTCACATGATTTCTTAAAATTGAAAGTCCAACTGATGAAGTAAATTCTCCACAACAACTTTGCAAGAGATATAAAACAAGCATGACATATCACATTAAACACTCCTCTACAATTTTACACCAACTTCATGTAAATTAAATTTCAATATTGCAATTTTAATTGTGAAAAAGACAAACATCAGTGGTACACAGTGGCATGTTTACCAACTTCTGTTTCAATGAGTATAATTTTGGAGCAAGAAAAACATCAATCAGTAAATATCACAGCGAACTCGTCCAAGAAAAAGGCAGCAAAAACATGCTCCTAATCGAAAAAATTATTGACAGTCCAATCTCTGATCGACAATCTTTAAGTACACATGTGTGTATAAAGTTTACATTATTTCTGTAGCAAGCTAATTTAGAAGACAATATTTCATCATCTAAAAGGAAACATTTTAATTGCCCCGATTCGCTGATGTAAGAAAACGGCTAAATGCTACGAAAATAGCAAAAATTCGAAACGATCGTGAAAGGCCTGCTACGCGTAAATCTTGGTTGTCCGGAAGTCAATTCCGCCATCTTGATTCCGCAGGTTGAACACACAGCGCACATCAACGCAAAACAAAACTTTACAACTGATCTAATGACAAAACAATAGATATTTCTCAAATTAATTGAAAGGTTTAGCAAAATGGTTTTAATTGCGTTAAGTTACTACGTTGTTGAGACCATGCCAGCTTGTAATCAGTGAGACGAAATTTGAAATCGAAGACGACCGATCATGTAAATACACAACTTGACAAGTCCACGACGTTAACAAACCGTGTGCAGAATACCACAGAAATGGACTAAAAAGTATTAAAATCTCTAAGAATAAATATCAATCTTGAGCTTTAAGAATACAAACGTTGAGCTTATGGAATAGGGCTGGAAAAATTGACAAACACACGCCATCCAACGGCTCACATCCGGAGTATCTAATTTATGCAAAAATACAAACGCGTCCACATAACCTACAAACTACCGGTTCAGGAAACTTCAATTTGAAGGATGAACTCGCAAAATCGCGCCTTTAAAATTAATTAGGCAGGTATTCAAATTACTTGTCTTTCGAAATTGCACAGTTTAAAGCGGGGTAGTGAATCAAAACATGGCTCGTAACCCACATAAACATCCAGCAATAAGAAGGAAAAGAACAACACGGAAGCGAGAATTTTCCGTACAACTTCTCGTCAGCAGCCCTGGAAATCACGACAAAATCTTACTTACCCTGATGCACGTGTTCCGCAAATTGATCCCTAAAGCGATCGTCTGTCTCCTGGACAAAGTTTCCTTGAAAGAGTTATGCCATCACAAATATTCAGGCTGCAAGAAGGCCGGAAACAAGCAGCGGAAGCACATGGTTGGTTCTCGTCGATCGTTTAGAACTTCCTTTGCTCTTAGACGACGTTGTTGTTTGAACACGTGATCTATCGGTAGCAGGAAAATATTCGTTGGTTGAATAAAGATTTACAGATGAAACGTCTTTCACTCACCTCAACTTCCCTGATTACAAACCAGTTACATTTTTTTAGTTCTTAAGACTATATTTAGATTCTAATATATCTCCATTGAAAGTATTTGATAGTTTTATATTCATTCAAGGTCAGTATTTTTATGATCAAGTATAAATTTCTCATTAACACAAATAATCGAGCTCACTCAGAGTTCCCGTATGTTGTAACCCTTCCCGCCACAAATTCTACTCGTTAGCACTTGTTCGCTGAACAGTGTTCATAATTTGAAAGCTGCAATAGTCTCAGTCGAACACGCTTGCTTTAGCATTTATTTCTTAGAGTCACTGGTGTAAATGGTTCGGAAATTACTTTAGGACAATACATGAGGAAATCTTTTCAGCGTTAGCTCTTTTGATTGTGACCCCAAAGAAGATTTTAACTGCCTCTTTAGGGAAAATTTCACTTTGTCACCCCTAAAGCTAAGAATGTATCCAATCTTGCGTTAGAAAACATCCTGTTATCTTCAGAAAGAAGGCGTTTTCAAGGATTCAGAGTAGATCTATCAGGGAGAACTAAATGTTGATACGCCGACACAAGCTAGTGGCCAGCGGTTTTCTTCACAACCCATCTGTCTTTTCCTCGCGGCAGTTTATATAAGATGAGTTTCGCTCGAATATTTCATATTGAATCTGTGCATGCCTTTTGGTTTCGTATTTTCCTTCATGCATGATAGAAAATAGCAAACAGCTTGAAGGTCTTCGGGTAAAGACACGAAAACCAAACGTGGATTATATGGTATGTCTTGCCCAAGCCCTCAATGATACTTTTCGCGATTACCATCCAACCTTGTTTTTCATGATCAACTTGCGAAGCTGAAAAATTGATTCTCTGAAATATACAAGCGAATGATGTAACCTAAATAGCATAATCTTCCATTATTTTCAGTTACGGACCCACTGGAGAAGACTTGAGGCTAAAGGTAATGGAATCAAAACCAAGAGTTTTGATACTTGGCGGTAAGTGCACCTTATAATATCTGATTTAATATTGTCAGGTAAGATTTAGATACAAGCGTATTATCGCATAAGATGTATTTCAGCCGTTAGAGGCCTACTGACTGCTTTACCTCGATTGTCGTGCTACTTTTTTCTCCTTCGACGCTGCGGTAATCCTCGATGAATTCATCACTAATTGTACTTAATTATATTGCACCTCGGTAATCGCGTTAAAGCGATTATTCAAGATGAAATCGATTCAAAGTTAAACAAATTAAAATATGATTAATCTGTAGCTATAGTTCAACTTTCATGATTCTAATTTTCAGGCCCTGTGAATATGTAAGGTACAGTTATTTTAGATCAAATTGCTCCTGTAGTTTACAGTTTCGTCGTATTGGTGTGGAGGACGATAGAAATCACACTGTGTTCAAATGTTCAATACGAGCAGAATATAATTAATCACTGGAAATAACCATTCTTTCTGTATTGTGCTTGGGCAGGGGTGATCTCAAGAGCATGACAGGCCTCTTTTTTTTCATAGCTTTATACCCAAAGGCCTGTTCTTGTTCATATTGGTTTCACATAACAATTGAATACAAATTACAGTGGATTCACTCTTACTTTAACTTGGTTGACCTACCCCCTGGGGGAGTGATCACTGAGTAATTTCTCCTTACAACATTGATGCATTATCAGCCACATTGGCACTGAGAAGTAAAAGAAGACATCAATCAGGGGGAGAGAGAAGGAGAAAGAAGGAGAATTGCTATTTAGAACATAGCTAGCAGAGTCTCGCAATTAAATTCATCATACGTGAGCGTGCTCAAAATCCCGATAGTGCACGCTGATAGCGTCAGCAAATCCGACTTCGCCAGAACTTTTTTTTTCGCGCGAGCGGCCATTGTTAGCACAGGGAAAAATAATATATTTCGCGACAATAATGGATACAAACAGAAACTCGGCCTACTAGTCCGAAAACGAAGACAATGTTTCGACCTTTTCCCTTGGGCTAGAGCTCTTAAATGAGGCAGAAAGAGAGAAAAACAAAGGAAAAGGAGACTCGGAAACAGCGCCGTCACGATTCGCTTCAACTGATATTGTTGTCCGTTTTTCGCGTCGGATTTGATGCACAATTCCACCGGCTATGTTCTAAAACAATTGGTTCATGCTTTCAGCTGTGCACTATCGAGTTATGGAGCACGTGGGAAGTTTGGAGAGCACTCAAGAAGCTAGAGTTTCCCTCGGCTATCGCCTCGGGCAACTCTTACGCTTCTTTCGTGCTCTCCAAACTTCCCGCGTGCTCCATAACTCAATAGTGCACAGCTGAAAGCATGAACCAATTGTTAATTAGAACCTGGGCATGAGAAGGACTAGGCGACTTCTAGCTGTTTCCCTTGATGCACATGTTTACGTTATTTTTTGCTAATTTAACTTTAACTCCCTGGAGTCTCAAACTGTTTACTCTCCTTTGACAGATAAGGTTCTATGATAGTAGCCTGTAGACAGCTGCCCCCAACACTCTAAAAGAAAATCAGGAAGGGTACCTTTCCCCATTTTCTTTTACAATGTAGGAGTGGCTGTACACAGGCTATAATATAGCTAACTGATTTTTTGCATCGATATACATGAATGAAATTTACAAGAGATTGAAATGATCATCAAATTACAATTTTTAGGTGTATACTGCAGGTGGATATTAATTTCAATTTAAAAGATTTTTTCCAAAAGCATGTCTTTCCATTAGATTCTTATTTCTTTTGTGTCAATTGTATGATCATGAAAAATGGGTTGACTTGGTTCTGGGACAAAGGAAATTAAGAATTTTTCCTGCATGAAAATAAATTTTATGTGTAACTGAAACAGTTAATGATTTAATTGTAAGCCCTGTAGGGACCCTATTGATTAGTTATAAAGGATTGGAATCAGATGTGATAAGCTATTAAGTCATTCATATGATATGATTCAGAAGAGATGTTCTAATGCTGTCTTTTTTCAGGATTGGGATTTGTTGGCCGCAACCTTGTATGCTACCTTGTCGAGCACAGGCTGTGTTCCAAGGTTAGACTATACACAGGTTGTTAATGTGTTTAGTGATGACAAAATTTCAGTGGATCATAGAATCTTGTTTGGGTCATTCTGTCATTAACCTGGATAATGTGATGCTACAGCAGCATCATTATGAATAGATCTGTCCTTTTCAAAGGTATAACAAAATTCTTTGTATTGCCAATTGCTGGAGACATGGTCAGTTCATTCGTATTGGCCAGAATCTGAGTTTTTTGTCAACCATTTTCAGTTGACCAGTACCCCAAAGAGGCAAATGTTGTTTGTGGAAGATTGTACTATGGCTATTTAATACAAATAATTATTTGAGACTCTGAAAATGAGTTAAAAAATTGAGTTTTTTCTAAAAGATAATTCCTGCTGTAAAAAAGGTTTTGCATAATTTGGCTTATCTTCATGTGGCACTACAATAACTGTAATTTATATGTCTGTCTATGAGAGCATGCACATTGTGGCAACCCTAAATTTCTTGTCTAGCTCAAATTGATCTAATGACACCCTTCCTCATTCATCAGCTGACTGTTGTAGCTATTGGATAAAGGCTGATAGTTTCTAAAGAAACTGTTTGGGGCTGCATTGGTGGGGGTAACGAAATAATTTGGATTTATCAACGAAGTTGAAATGGTAAATTGGCCACCCACCGTAACGATTACAGAAGCTGATGTTTTGAGCGTTAGCCCTTCGTCGGAGCGAATAGAGGAATTGTGGGTTGTGTGTGCTTTTAAAGGCAGAAAATGGAGCTACGTTATTGGTGGGAACATGGCAACGAGAAAAATAGTAATTTAAAAACTTTAAATTACTTCAAAACGATCCAGAGACAAGCACTATCTTTTCGCAGCCTCCGCTCATTTCATTCAAACTCAACAAAAACATAGGCAATTTTTTTATCAGAAGTTCTTTTTAGACTGATGACCAACCAGGCACTTTTAAATGCACTTGTGCACGATGCAAAACATGTCCTTTCATTCACGATGCTGATAAAATATCGGGACCCAAATGATCCATTAAGATCACTGATCACTTCACGTGCACCTGTGCCAATGTAATCTATTGCATAACTTGCACTTATTGCAAAAAGTGCAAGTTATGCAATAGATTACATTGGCACAGGTGCACGTGAAGTGATCAGTGATCTTAATGGATCATTTGGGTCCCGATATTTTATCAGCATCGTGAATGAAAGGACATGTTTTGCATCGTGCACAAGTGCATTTAAAAGTGCCTGGTTGGTCATCAGTCTAAAAAGAACTTCTGATAAAAAAATTGCCTATGTTTTTGTTGAGTTTGAATGAAATGAGCGGAGGCTGCGAAAAGATAGTGCTTGTCTCTGGATCGTTTTGAAGTAATTTAAAGTTTTTAAATTACTATTTTTCTCGTTGCCATGTTCCCACCAATAACGTAGCTCCATTTTCTGCCTTTAAAAGCACACACAACCCACAATTCCTCTATTCGCTCCGATGAAGGGCTAACGCTCGAAACATCAGCTTTTGTAATCGTTACGGTGGCCAATTTACCATTTCAACTTTGTTGATATATCCAAATTATGTTGTAGCTATTGTTAGTAACATTTTTTTTGCTGTTATTTTGTCTTAAGATTAGGGCTGTTGATAAAGTTCCACCACAAACAGCATGGCTGAACAAAAGACATAAAGTAAGACTTCAACTTTATATATCTAATAATTATCCAAACTGAAATACTATAATTCATGTAAATTAAATCGAGTAACTTCATCTTGCATCATGAATCCTCGCTGTGTTTTTAAACAACTTCTTTATATTATAGTTGTAATACTCAACACATGCATGTTGAGGGAATTCTGTGTTAAATTGCATGCAAAAACCGATTTCACACAAACTGGTTTTGATTTTGATACTGGTTTTCATGTGCAATTTAATGTGGATTCATGAGTCAGGTGATAGATTTTCCTTGACTCGCATTATTGAATGAAAATAAGAAAAAAAGAAAACCACAATGATATTATTTGTTTTTATCCTGGCTAAATACCTTGCCTAATGTTAACCAATTAGAATGCAAGATTTTATTCAATTATGTGATTCTTTATGCAAACTCATTTTCTTAACAGGCAGCATTCAATCATGACAGTGTGGAATTTAAGAGTGCCAATCTCATTCAACCTGGTAAGAGTCAAGTTTATTTACTTTTAAATTTTACTTGAGGTAAAGAGCATGGCTCAATTGATTGAGCATGAATGAAACTGTCGGTACTAATTAGTAGACCCTATAATTTCTATCAAAAAGCTTCATTTGATAAAGGGCCATTCAATTCCAAACCAAAATCACAGCAGACAACCTGAAGAATGGTTTGCATCCCAAGTTGATAATGAGATCTAATAGTAAATTGCATCCAAATGGAGTCAGGCACAGAAAAATGCAGGTTACCAAGTGCCAATTTTGAGGCCCATTTCTTGAAAGTCCTGGTAACTTAAACAGGCCCATAAAGCTGTTCTGTTTTTATTCAAGATGGGGATTTCAAAAGTTTTGAAAATGATGCCATAAAACTATCAGCTATATATGCGCATCAAAACAACTTTTTGAACTTTGGCATGTAATCATTGATAAATAAAATTCATTTGGTGGATGCAAATCTGTAGCTCTTTTTTTTTTTAAGTTACCTCACAATCTACTTGTTTTTTTTTTTACTCAGCTAGTGTAGAGTCAGCCTTCTGCGATTCTGGAGGTGATTTTGATATTTGTATTAACTGCGCAGCAGAGACCAGATATGGACAGTCTGAGGAGGTGACTATCTTTAAATTTATATTGTTTTAATTAGATCAAATAATCTAAAATAATTGACCTGTCCAGAAATGTTGTGTGTGCTCTCATTAGTCCTCAGATGAAGGTCTGTAAGTGTAATTAGGATCTTTTAGATTCAGTAATATTTTTACAGAATATTTTGGAAATGCAGCTCTAGGGACTAAATTTCCATGTTTACGTGCAGTATACAATGGTGTATCTCTCATTTTCCTTGCTGAATAGTAATGGTATGTTAGCAGATCCTGTCCAGTTAGTCATTACTTTAGAAACGGAGTAAAGGAGTTTTAAATCAACTTTTGATAGGTTTATTCAGACGGGGTGTTCAAACTGAGCATGAACTGTGCAAAGCAAGCGCGGGAAAGTAATGTGAAGAGGTACATTGAGATCTCTACAGCTCAAGTGTATTCTTGTGACAAGGTGAGAGTCTTGGCAGGGCTCGACACTAACGGTAGCCCACTAGACACAGACTAGTAGAAATTCAGTTTTGGCTAGTGGTTTTCAATTTCCACTAGCCAGTTTGGTTAGTAAACAGACTGAAATTGTCATAACATCTAAAAACGTCTAAGATGTCACTAGCCACTTGGCTAGTAAGTTGAAAAGTTAGCATCGAGCCCTGCTTGGCAAGGAATAAGTAAACCCTTCCTTTCCCATGACTGACCAAGACAGATTTTCTCCTTAACATATCAACTGAATACATTATCATTATCAAGCAGACATGTGATAAGAAAGAAGAAAAATAGCAAATTTGGGAAGTATTAGTTGATCTAACTCCAAATTCTCAAAACTAACACCATCAGCAGTGTAAGGTAGGCAGCCGTTAAGGCGAATTAGTCAAGGAAATCTAGTCAGTGAAAGGATTGATGAAGTAGGGTTGATTGCCATGTTCTCAAATCTGTGTGGCTACTAACAGCTCTCATTACATGCAATCCCTTGCTGTGTCCATAATCTCTTGGCATTTTTTTTTTTTTTCATTTGGTAATATATATATCTTATTAACCAAGCGCGAGGGCCGTACTGGGAGAGTATCGGCCCGAGGTCTTGACAGCACAGACCGAGCACAGCGAGGTCCGTACAAAAAAGACCAAGGGCCAATATTCTTCCAGTACGGTCCCGAGCAAGCTTGGTTATTAAGAGATTTATTATACGACTGAAGTTCAAAGGGACACAAGTGTGGTATCATTTGGGACCATNAGTCATTCAAACAGTTACTTAGTCAATCAGTCACTGTGTCAGTCACTCAGTCAGTCTGTCACTCAATCAGTCTGTCACTCAGTCAGTCTGTCACTCAGTCAGTCTGTCACTCAGTCAGTCTGTCACTCAGTCAGTCTGTCACTCAGTCAGTCTGTCACTCATTCACTCATTCGCTCAGTCACTCAGTCAGTGAATCAGTCAGTCATTCAGTCAGTTACTCTGGTCACACTAGACGACATCTACCAACTTTGACAACTAACATGCCAAAGCTCAGTTTTAAGAAGGAAAGAATGGTAATGGCTTTAAGTCTAATATATATATCTTATTAACCAAGCGCGAGGGCCGTACTGGTTGAATATCGGCCCGAGGTCTTGACAGTACGGACTTAGCGCGGCGAGGTCCGTACAAAAAGGACCGAGGGTCGATATTCTTCCGGTACGGTCCCGAGAAAGCTTGGTTAATAAGAGATTTATTATACGACTGAAGTTCAAAGGGACACAAGTGTGGTATCATTTGGGACCATTTGGGACAGTGCCCAGTCCAATACTGAGAGAATATTGAGTGGCAATAGAGCATTTTGATTGGTTGATTCTAGTTATTGGCCCTCTGACTGCCCGAGGCGTGTAATAATAATAAATAGATTTGAATTTTCTCCCCTTTTATAGGGAAGAGCTATGATATTGTTAAAACAATGCTTGCCTCTTGTTTGCGTCTTTTCATTGGTATTTTGTACACACACACATGTACAATGTAATGGTGGCATACAATGAACTCGAATTATTCAATTTACACATTACTCATAATTATTCTGTTTCTATAATAGGGCATAAGTAATGAAGACAGCAAGAAATCACCTTGGACACATATTGCAAAGTACAAGCTCATGGTGGAACAAGAAATAGCTAAACTTGATGGGTATATATACAACAATATTTAGAAAAATTTAAGCTTTTTTGTGGTTCAATTATTTCATATACTCTTATGTTTTCCTGTGTTTTACATGCATTATGCATTATGTTAACCAGTTTGAAACACAGAACTAAAATTGAAAACTAAGTACAGAATTGAACAGTTGCACTATACCTGTTAAAGCTACTGATAGAGTTAAATTGTATATATTTTTTTCTCTTTAGATTAAACTTTATCATTGTTAGACCAGCAATTATTTATGGAATAGGTGACAGGCAAGGACTAAGTGAGTTATTAAAAGACTAATCATCTCATCCAAGAAGTTCTAGTTAAGAATGCATGCAAGTCATTTGAAGTTGCATAATGTATGTTTTTACAAAATAGAAGATGTACATTTGTGCTACTAAACATTTACAAAACATAAAAGACAAATGCTAAACATTCAAGGAACTCAAATTCAGTTCTTCTCTGAAAGAAAATCTCGAGAAACATTTCAGGATATGTTCTAGTGGAAATTAATATTATTTATGAGTCCTTATAGACTATTAGTGCTAAGTACCAGTCAGCTTTTTTGGTTTGTAACACTTTGCAAATGCTTAGACTAAAGTCATGCACTAAGCAAATGGATAATTTAATTTATTTTTTTTCCTGTCATTTCCCAGAGTGTTTTTGAAAAGTCACTTTTTTCAGCAAGAGTTTGGTGAATCAAGGAATAAGGGAAAATTGAAATAGTGTTCCCTGAGGGAGGTAATAGCACTCTCTGGAAACTGTGGCACATTCTGATATAGAAATTTATTAATTTGCAGTGCCAAGATTAATAATTGGTGCTGTCTATAAGCAAATGGAAGAGACAATGAAGGTAACTGGCATGAAATGGATTGTTAATTTTTAGGGTGTGGTTTACAGTTAAGGAAGGTAATCTGAAAGGGCTGATAGTTTCTAAAGAAACTGTTTGAGGCTGCGTCGGTGGGGGTAACGAAATAATTTGGATATATCAACAAAGTTGAAATGGTAATTTCACTAATTTATTCATGAAATGGTAATTTATTCGTGAAATGGTAATTGATTCCTGAAATGGTAATTTATTCCTGAAATGGTGAATTCGTGTTTTTCTCGTTGCCATGTTCCCACCAATAACGTAGCTCCATTTTCTGCCTTTAAAAGCACACACAACCCACAATTCCTCTATTCGCTCCGACGAAGGGCTAACGCTCGAAACGTCAGCTTTTGTAATCGTTACGGTGGCCAATTTGCCATTTCAACTTTGTTGATATATCCATATTAATCTGAAAGGGAATGTTGTCAGGGACAGTGAATGATGGTGTTTCAAAAACCGAAAAAAGGCTTAGTTATCATCCGAGTCAAGATCAAGTCTCCTTTGCAGTAGTTGTCAGGTCTTGTCATACCATGAGTTCTCTCCTTGGCTCAATAAACAGCTCTACTGATTGGGAAATGAACCTAGGTATGCTTCTTGTCTTCTTGGAGGAATTCAACAAGGGGTAGAAATGGAAGGTAGGTCTATTTCACAGTTTTCAGGCAAGAGACCCCTTTGTGTTAGGAGTGCACATGAAAGCTGCCAAGGAATCTAATAACTGAATTTGAAGATCAAAACCTCTGCTTATTTTAAAATTTCAGTCTCGCCAGTAAGTCAGCCCTTGTTTGAACTCTCATCCAAAAGATCATCTCACTATACACTTGACTGTAGCTATCTACTATTGATGTCCACCTTTTGATTCTAATTTACAATTAACTTCAACAATCCTTTGTTTGCAACAGCTGCTTTGGAACAAGGACCTGAATATGAGCACGGTTCATGTCACTGATGTTTGTCGAGCGCTGTGGCACCTGACCAGTCATGGCAACAGTGGTGATATGTTTAACTTGGCTGACAAGAGTAATACCAGTAAGGCTCTCAACACTTTAAATCCCAAGATCTGATTGTTTATTCTCCCCTCTTGCTGTTACACATTTCCTAGTTAATTAGTCAGGAGAATTTGGTGTTAGATCCAGAGTAACACCAGTAAGGCTCTCAACACTTTAAATCCCAAGATCTGATTGTTTATTCTCCCCTCTTGCTGTTACACATTTCCTAGTTAATTAGTTAGGAGAATTTGGTGTTAGATCCAGAGTAACAAGAGTAACACCAGTAAGGCTCTCAACACTTTAAATCCCAAGATCTGATTGTTTATTCTCCCCTCTTGCTGTTACACATTTCCTAGTTAATTAGTCAGGAGAATTTGGTGTTAGATCCAGAGTAACACCAGTAAGGCTCTCAACACTTTAAATCCCAAGATCTGATTGTTTATTCTCCCCTCTTGCTGTTACACATTTCCTAGTTAATTAGTCAGGAGAATTTGGTGTTAGATCCAGAGTAACACCAGTAAGGCTCTCAACACTTTAAATCCCAAGATCTGATTGTTTATTCTCCCCTCTTGCTGTTACACATTTCCTAGTTAATTAGTCAGGAGAATTTGGTGTTAGATCCAGAGTAACACCAGTAAGGCTCTCAACACTTTAAATCCCAAGATCTGATTGTTTATTCTCCCCTCTTGCCCCTCTTGCTGTTACACATTTCCTAGTTAATTAGTCAGGAGAATTTGGTGTTAGATCCAGATTTAAAAAAATGCGCCTCACTACCAGAGTTCCGCGCGGCGCGCTTACAACCAATTTTTTTTTTTTTCTTTTTTTTCGGCTGATTTTTTTCTTTTTTGACTTGCTCGACGGAATTCGCCGATAAGGAGTGATTGCTCGTAGTCTAAAATTTACTACTTATCTCAAAAGAGGATTAATAATGGAAGTTGCGTATTCCTAAACACACACGGAAGAGACCGTTTGTACAGGGCCTCACTGTTGAATGAGATAAGTATTGAATGTGATTTTTGAGACTAGACGTTACGAATCTAATATATATATACATACATATCATGATATAATGGCCATGTTTTTCTTTTTCACAGCCCAGGGAAGTATCACAGACTTCGTGTGTGAGATATTTGGAATTAAACACGACTATTTTGGTACTGTTTTATCCAACATGGCACGGGTAAGCTATGGCGACTTAACGCATACGACAAAGCATACGACGTTGTTTAAGTAGGGAATAACTGAAATACAAGTGTCAGAAGGAGTAAAACGAGAAGGCAATGCGTGGAACCGCGGGAAAGAGACCAAAACAGCGAAACCCTAACCCTAGCCCTAACCCTCAGGCTAACCCGAACCGCAGAGCGGAAGAAAGCACTGTAGAGACCACGTATACTGCACCTGCAGAACACAACTCGTTTTTCTCGATTTATTTTGAGCAACTAGTGCTCCCCTTAGCCATTATGTCCTTGTTTTTCTATGATGACGAAGCCGACCCAGTTAAGAGCGGTTGCCTGAACAGTTTTAAAGATGGAATTTTGAATCGTATGGCGGAAAAATACGTCAGAAAATATTGTCCTTTACCATAACTGGCTGAGATTTAGGGCATAGTCTACCGCGCTTCCAAGAGTTCAGAGGTAAATTCTTGCATTGCTGAAATGCTTGACTGAGGGCTGTTAAATTGATGCGGAAGCCAGTTTGTGGATTAGATCGCTCTTCTTTCTTTCACTACCTGTGCGCTGAAAGAACGTCTTCACGACTTTCCTTGATATCGAAGCAAAAAAGGCAGTTTGAAGTACTGAACTGTTATTTTTTATTGTTTTCTAACGGCTTAGTTGAACATGGCAGGCACCGTTGATGATTCCAACGAAAAACACCTGGAGCCTTGGTCTGCAGCATGCGAGAGAGATGGTATCCACAGTACCCCCCTTAGTCCGTATTTGGATCAGGTGGGTACTCGGTCCTCAAAAACCAACTTGAAGCCATATGTCTACACCGCAGGTCATAACCCAAAACCAGTTCAAACCTATTGTCTCGCGCATAAATGTAAACACGACAAATTGGAGTGACAGTCTTTCGGGACCTGTAACCACCGTCGCAATGGAGCTCCTGGTTCATAATTGTGACGCCCTTCTTTGCATGTATAGTACTGCCATCAGATGATTATAGATGACTGATTTCAGCTCTGACGTGCTTCATTATGTTCAACAGGAACTTCTTTACGATAATCACTTGTTCGTAAATGGATCAAAGATTGAAGAATCAGGTTTTAGCTACAATTATCCTGAACTTACGGTGGAAGTCTTGAAGGAGGTGAGCTTTTTAAATTTACTCTTTCCATTGTTGTTTGTTCTCTATCTTTTAGCGTAGTGTACGTAGTTCTCGCTCTCTGAACGAGAAATCTGGCGGGTTTGATTACATCAGCAAATGCCTACAAAGGTTTTTCGGAGACACCTTACTTTATGTAGGCAACTTCCAGGCGTCCAAGGTCCATCAGACCACGATTTCGTTGGATAAGCTGTGACTTGAAATCTATCGCTGCGTGTCAGTTCTTTGTGTTCATTCAACCTAATATTTCCTTGTAGGTCCTTGATAACTATGTTGAAACAGGGTTATTTCCACCTTCGCTGGCCCATGCAAGATGATGACATGATGGCGATTCGCTATATTAAATTCTTTCATATGTGACTACTGATCATCCACAAGGAACCAGAGAAACAAATAAAATTCTGAACCCAATGATCTCGTCTGGGAATCTGATTTTGATGTGAACTAATAGCAAACAGTTTTCCTTCTGAGTAGAGAATGCCTATACTCCACATAAAGAGCGTCTTTTTGAGAAATCTTCTTTTGACAGGATGATTTGATAATTGTTTCGTCAACAAAACATAATAAGCACAACATGTATGAATGTGGCCTAAGAAAACTTGTGTTATCGTGTTTTTATGTTTTTCAGGCGACTCGTGAAAGGTCATGTAGTTTTTTAATCTTGTTCGAAATAAACGGCGTTTTCAGTCTACGTATCGTGAGAGGAAAGGGTGGCGGAGGTAGCCCGGGTCAAGAGAGCTTCCTGCGCAGTCTCGAAATATCAGAAACAAAAACAAAACGGAATAAAGGCTGGTTCGGGTGGTAGGCGATTTTCGCTCAGAGCTGGAAACGTTTCATTCAGGTTCATTCAGGATCAGTTTAGTCTGAACGTTCTGTTTTAAACTAAAGTGTTAACACAGCTTAGATGAATCGATATTTACTTTTGAATAAGAGGAATAGGACGTCATATTTGAATGATTGAGGAGGGTGGCATTGGTTTTGCGGTTTTGGCTATTTTTTAGATCGGTTTTTGTGCCAAGAAAATATCGGTATTTCGGTTTCGTTGTTCATTGCGTTTTGCGGATTTTCCGTTTTCAGCATTTGGTTTTCGCCGTATTAACCATGCAAGTGAAAAACTCCAACTAACTCCTACTTTCAACACACTACTGCGAAAACTTCAAAACTAGTTTCGTCTACGACCTCTTCAGTTGATAACAAACAAAAATCTAAAAATTTGAATTTAAATTGACGAGGTCAAGAAAAACCGGAAACCGCATCAGAGTTTTCGTGAAAACCGAAAACAGAATGCAAAAACACGTAAATCCGCAAATCCTCTGAACATCAAAATCGAAAAACCGAACCTTTACGGCCCAAAAACCGGTCCAAAAAACAGTCAAAACCGAAAACCCCAAAGCTCCCCTCCTCCACCACCGAGCCACAGACTGTATGGTGAGTAAGGCCCATTACCAAGTTCATATTTGACCCGCGCCCTGCATTCTGCTAGGATCGGCAATGTCGAAAACGTCATGTTTTTGTAAGGTCTGAGGTTCGATTCCTAATGGGGACTTACGCTCGTGACTAGACAAAAAACATCTTACCGAGCTCATAACTTACGATCTTTTTTATTCTTTACAAGCTTTCACAGACTTCTAAGGAGACGCGCTGTCTCGCCTTAACTTCGACGCCCCTTGAATTTTTGTCCCTTTTTTCAATTCTACTAGAACTATCCCTGGAATTTGACCTTAAAAGCGCGTCATCTGCGCGAAACATTCAAGGTTCTAGAGGGCTTAACAGATTTAAGCCAATCCCTATTACGTTTCTTGTCCCCATCACGTGTTCATAAAAAAAAAAAAAAAAAATTCCAAAGCGTCAGGGCATCGAGGGGATCCAATTTCGTATTCCAAGATTCTCACAAGCGTATCTTTGCCGATCGGTAGTCGCGAGGAAAGAAACGAGAACCAGTAGCCAAGATGGGAATGACTAAAGGCCATTCAGTCGCTGCCATTATAATTGGTACTCTGCAGTTGTTGCTTGCCATTGCTTTGATCATTACCTCCTTCGTTCTTTCGAGTTACGGCAACGGCGTTAACACATCCAGTACGCCATATTGGAACGGGTTCCCGGTGAGTATGGAAATATTCCAGTCGTTTATGAGGAAATCTGTACCTAGTGTAGTTAGAGGGTTTTAAAACGAATTTCTGATCTGGAAACGGTTTTGGATGTTTGTTAGACCGGGATATTTTCTGTAAAACCTGTAGTTTCAACATTTTTTTCCGGGTTACCAAAGTACAGATGTCTACCGGTCGTCTCCTTTGGGATTCAGTTGCTAAGTTATCACGCTAGAAATTGAAGCTCCTTCGTCAAGCTATTTTAGCGGTAGTGACCACGACAGACTCAGTGCTATCATCTCTCCGCGGTGCTAGGGTCGCACAAAGGCATACGAGATGATGTGTATTTACATTGAAAGGAGTTAGAAAAGCTACAGGTTGCGCAGTTTTCGCTAGGGCTAGACTGACGTTTGCCAATGACGTTCACCTTTCGGCTCTCCATATGTTAAGTCAAAGTGATGTGATAGTGAGAGTGATAGTGATAACAGAACAACTAGTTGCAGCAATTAATGCTGAATTGCGTGTTCTTTCACAACACTGTGTGGGGGGGACTTTACCAGACTGTTAGTAGCAGTTTACAATCAATAACGGCGAATCTAACAGATGCCACCTCTCCTCAATTCCCAGTAAACAGGTCAGACCACAGCACAGTAATCTCGCGAGTGGGTTCTTTAACGTCCCCTGCCTAACCGAATTAACTAATTGATATACGCAGGAGACGGGACCAACGGTTTATTCTTCCTTATCCGAGAAGACTAGAATGTCTATCCATTTCTTGATATTATAGAGAGGTCAAACTCAATTTGTGACACCAACTTTTGAGGGATAAAAGAAAATACAGCCTGGCTAACTTATTTAGCTTCTCATTGTGATACTGAGAAAATCAAACTTATTTAAAACCGTAAGCTGAACCTAACCTTCGCAACTGAAACATCACATTTGCTTATAAATAATTAATTTGTGTGTGGCGTTCAGTCATTTTGTCTGTGATGCTGAATCATTTAGAGGGCATTTAGTCTCCCTCGCAGCCGTTTTTAGTCTCGTCACGCAACGCTTCTCCCCACAAACGGCTGCTCACATTCGAACAACATTCCTTTCCGCTACTTCAACCAATCACTATTTGGGTTACATATGTTGAGAACTGTACGCGCCAAAGTAGTCTAACCAATCATATTGTTTGTTTCATCTTCGAGTTCAAAGCTTTGAAAATGGCGTCCTTTGAAGAAGCGTTTAATGTTGTTAGTAATACATTTCGAATTCCTAGTTTAAATGCGCAGCAAAAAACTGGAATTAGGAAAATAGTTGAGGAAAGAAAGGATGTATTTGTCAATCTTCCTACTGGTTTCGGGAAATCTCTCCTGTATGAAGCACTACCACTCATGTTTGATCTTACCTCACAAGAGCCTGGTCATATCGTCGTCGTTTTCTCACCATTGGGGAAAGCCTTATGAACGACCAAGTGTCCCATTTGAGGGAGCTAGGGCTAAAAGCTGGTAACATAAGTTCACTTGAGGGTGGTAAACGCACTCGTGTCGAAAGCGGCGAATATTCCTTAGTTTACGGATCCCCTGAAGCGTGGTTAAGGAACGAACGCTGGAGATTTATGCTGACGAACTCTGTGTATTCCATGCCAAAAAACTCTGTGCCATTGCCGTCGATGAAGCGCATGTTGTAAGGCAGTGGTAAGTGTTTCAATAAAAACGAGTCTGCAGCAAAATGTTATTTTACATGTATGTTTTAAATTAAGCAGTATAAAGGAAAGGACAATAAGAATGTAACTATTGTNGCTATTAGTCATTATTCAGTGAGATTGCAAATCTTTCAGACTTTTGAATAGATCAGATTCGTATGAAGACATTTATATCAACTTCATTTATATCAGTAGTTGCAGCACCTGGGTACTTCTTGGGTTAAAATCTGGGCTAACAGACTTTTTCAGGGTCCTGTTTTGACATTTTTTGGCTGTAACAGTTTGTCATCATTGGCACATACTTGTCACTAGGCTCTCATATATTGTACATTTGTGTTGTTCCAGACTATTCATAGACTACTTAACACTGCAGTAGCATACTGAATAGACAGTGTGAATTCTCAAAAGCTATGGACTACAGAATTCAATTTCCCATGAGGCAACAAAAAAAATGTTTTGTTTACTGTTTATCTAGCTCTGATACCCCTGAGCATGTTTTTCTTGTGTTTGTTTATCCAGTGATAATTTTGAGGCATCTAAATCAATACACCATTAGAACCAATAGGAAATCTTGCCGGAGTATAACGTCCCTCTTGGCTGATCGTGGTAGAAATATTAGAATTGGCTGTAGCATTAGAGGTACAAGTCGTATTGATCGGATCGAATTGTAAACATTTCGAGGATTTCCCACGGCACGAAGCTTGGATTTCTCCACCGTCGCTCTCAACGCTCAATAAGCGCTTCTTTCTGGGAAGTTCTCGAACCTTGAAGATTCCCTTCAATTCATCTTTGAACTCTTCAAGATGAACAGAGGCCTTTTTGAACTTGATCAATCGTCGGTAGCAAGCTTTACAAACTGACAACTCGCTGGTCGCTGAATAGCAGCTCACATTCACATCCAGACAGGAACAAATATTCGCCGGAAAATCAAAAGAACTTTTTCCAAAAACATAAATTTTTTCTTTTGTCTCAACTGAGGTGGAACAAATAAAAGAACGATCACTTTGCAAAACCTTCTTCAGGGTTTCCTCCAGCAAGAAACTACGATGAAATGCAGAATTTGAAAACGCGGGAATAACGATAGCGATTACAGTCTCTTGTGCTCTGATTGGTCGCATAAGAAACAATGTCAGGGATCTCATTGGTGCAAAGACAACAAAGGGAAAGGAATGTTGTTCGAATGTGAGCAGCCGTTTGTGGGGAGAAGCGTTGCGTGACGAGACTAAAAACGGCTGCGAGGGAGACTAGAGGGCATTTAGAGGGAGAAATTTTTTAAGGCTAGAGGAAACTGGCAATTTTCAAACTTCTTTCAAACTATCCCTAAATAGCAAGACTTATTATCTGGACATTGTTTAGAAGACAGGAAGAGGATCGTTTCATGCAAAATAGACATGCAAATAGTCTCCATGAAACATTCCATGACCAAAAAATATTTGAAATGCGCTCAGTTATCACATGATGTATGAACTGGATTCATTTAATATTCAAATTGTAATGTAATCCCTGACACATGATTTGTAACGTATCTCACAGGGTTCGTACCCATCTTGAAAACCCTTGAAAACCCTTGAATTTCAGGAGGCTGATTTCAAGGCCTTGAAAGTACTTGAATTTCGTTTTGGGTCCTTGAAATTCCTTGATTTTTTATTGAGCAACATCGAAAAATATCTGCTTTTGTTTTGCACCATCGGTAAACCCAAAACTTAGATGTTAACAGAAACATTTTTCTTGGTTTTGAGGTAAAATTGTCATTACAAAAAGTCCTTGAAATTTCTTAGTAGGGTTCTGGAAAGTCCTTGAATCTTCAGCCTGAAAAAGTGTACGAACCCTGACCTTAATATAAATTCAAATGTACAACTGTTAAAAGCTCATTTGCAACTGAAGATGACATGAGAATGTCAAAACATGTCTTGTAAATTTAAACTCAAAGTTGTCATTTATTTTTTAAGAGTTATTGTCACTCTGCTGTCTTTATGTCCTTTTGGATTCGTTTAGTTTGAAACGTATTCAGACTACAGGTTATAATTGTGATGAAATGGTTTTCTACACACAACTGCTCTGATAGACTTTGCTCAAGCTCCCACAGCACCGCTAACAGGATTTCAATCTATTGTTTTGAATCATTATGAATGTAACTTGAGAGAAACCTGATTAGGGGATTAAGAGCCAAATGGTGTAAATTAAAGATTTGTTGTTCCTGGATGAACACATTGGAATGGCTTTTTAATTTCCACATCCAGCATTAGGGGTTGACTGGGTGGTGAAAAAGTAGAGAGTTGCAGTACCCTTTTTATCATTTAGCTTTGTCACTTGTGATTTAAAAGCCTTCTTCTCACAGACTGTGTTCAAAATGAAAACTCCAAGCTACTCATACTTGCTGCCCCTATAAGAATAAACCCCTCATGACTTTTCAAGAAGGCTAGAATTAGAGATAAAGATAAAACATGGTATAAAGGAGGTAAGACTCATCATTTAGGATGAAAGGGTGCACAGATCATAAAACTGAAAGAGTTAAAGACCCTCAATTTTTTCCAAGCTACCAGTTGATTCTGATCCCTTAAATTTCATGATACGAGGTTCTCTTCTTTCGGCAATTTTTATATTAATCCATTGAGACTGAATCAAAGCCAGGTCTCTTTTGCTAGCTTCGGAGCTAAACTTTGGAACTCCATTTTCTACGCTCTTCATCAACTCCCAAAGAGAGCATTCAAAAAACTCCTCAAGGACATGTTATTTTCGTTCCTAGAGGCTGAGGATTACTATGTTGAATTGCCCCTTCTATTTAAAAAAATTACTAATTATAAACTGGCTTTATAATTTATATTCTACATTGTAGTGTTGCTATTTTCTTATATTTAAAGATGCAGTTGTTTATACGAGTCTTAAGTGGCTGTCTTTTTCTGGAAATGTTATTAATTTATGTTTAAGCTTTATTTGTAATCTATCACCACTGCTGTACCTCTAATTCTCGCCCACCTCAACTAGCTCCTGCTATTTGTGGGCGTGAATGGTCTTCATGAACATGAAAGTGTAAATTAGATTAATAATAATTAGATTAATTAAATTAATTATTTTAATTTGTAATTTGTAATTTTCTTATTAAGCATTCTTTCTTATTAAGCTTCAATAAACTGATGATTTCCATTTTTGGCTCAAAAATTCTTGACGCTTAAGACATTGTTTACATTTAAGAAATGCAAGCAAAACAGTACTATTGTAGAAGGGTTGGGAACCACCACTATTATGTATAGACACAGCAAAGACTATCAAAAATGATATTCCAATATCTCTTACCATGTGTGTTTTTTAAAAGAATAGTGTTATGCCCATTACTTCTTTTACTTGTATACTCTTTTAAAAGTGACTTTTCATTTGATAGTTCTTAATCTGTGGAGTTTTTGGCATTGCTGGAGGTATTTCCAAGAACCATTGTTGTGTAAGTATCATTCTTTGCCATTGTTTTGTTCTTATGAAGTTTTTTTTTTGTGTTGTTTTTCTGAAAGGAAAGGAAGAAACTTAATTCTCATCTGATGATCATGAAAATTGTCTGAAAATGTGATCTTTTTTGTTTAACCCATTGACACTTATGTGTAACACGTGCCGACGAAAAGTCAAAATTTTGGAGAAACCAAGAAGGCAAACACAATGCGCAGTAAATTTTTAAAAATCAGCTTTTCCAAAAAACAAGCTCCAGTGAAAGAGGACTAATTAAAGAACTTATTTCNCCTTAATTGAAGCTATTTGACGGTCACTGATAGGCTCGGATGAATTATACCAGCATAAGTTTGTGTATAATGCTGTTGCCAGAAGATCGAGTATGATTCCAGCATAATTACTTATGCGTAAATGCGTCAAACTGCGTTGCAAAAATCTTGAATTATCTGTAAATGTAATAATCCTATCAGGGAATTATATCTTGAAAAGTTGCATGGCTTCTGTTAAACCAAATCAACTAGTTCTGTTTAACGTACTTCCTCGAATTAACGCCTGGGCACTTCTTTAAAATCTCGGTCAATAAAAATGCAAAAACAGAATTCGGCCAATATCCAGCCCTCTTGACCTCACGCTTGGTTAATAACGCATATATCTTAAACTTAGTTATTTCCATTTCTTAGGTACTTTAATGGAAATAAAATCAAGGAGCTACCACCTGGAGTCTTCAATAACAACTCCGAGTTGACTCACCTGTAAGTAATACATTCATAAGTTAATGAAAAGGCCTGAAATTTTTTTCAGGTCTGATTTCCACTATTGCTCAAATAGTGCTTTACTGCGAAGGATCGTTCTTATATACGTCTCATAACCGCAGTTCACTCATATGTTTCATATGTTTGTTGTTGTTCGATTTATCATCTACGGGTTTATATCGAATTAATTTGATGGCCTGCTCCCAGTTGGCTTGTTAGCTCAATTGGTAGAGCGCTGCACTAGTATCGCAGAGGTCAGTGGTTCGAATCCCGTACAGGCCTGAAATTTTTTTCAGGTCTGATTTCCACTATTGCTCAAATAGTGCTTTACTGCGAAGGATCGTTCTTATATACGTCTCATAACCGCAGTTCACTCATATGTTTCATATGTTTGTTGTTGTTCGATTTATCATCTACGGGTTTATATCGAATTAATTTGATGGCCTGCTCCCAGTTGGCTTGTTAGCTCAATTGGTAGAGCGCTGCACTAGTATCGCAGAGGTCAGTGGTTCGAATCCCGTACAGGCCTGAAATTTTTTTCAGGTCTGATTTCCACTATTGCTCAAATAGTGCTTTACTGCGAAGGATCGTTCTTATATACGTCTCATAACCGCAGTTCACTCATATGTTTCATATGTTTGTTGTTGTTCGATTTATCATCTACGGGTTTATATCGAATTAATTTGATGGCCTGCTCCCAGTTGGCTTGTTAGCTCAATTGGTAGAGCGCTGCACTAGTATCGCAGAGGTCAGTGGTTCGAATCCCGTACAGGCCTGAAATTTTTTTCAGGTCTGATTTCCACTATTGCTCAAATAGTGCTTTACTGCGAAGGATCGTTCTTATATACGTCTCATAACCGCAGTTCACTCATATGTTTCATATGTTTGTTGTTGTTCGATTTATCATCTACGGGTTTATATCGAATTAATTTGATGGCCTGCTCCCAGTTGGCTTGTTAGCTCAATTGGTAGAGCGCTGCACTAGTATCGCAGAGGTCAGTGGTTCGAATCCCGTACAGGCCTGAAATTTTTTTCAGGTCTGATTTCCACTATTGCTCAAATAGTGCTTTACTGCGAAGGATCGTTCTTATATACGTCTCATAACCGCAGTTCACTCATATGTTTCATATGTTTGTTGTTGTTCGATTTATCATCTACGGGTTTATATCGAATTAATTTGATGGCCTGCTCCCAGTTGGCTTGTTAGCTCAATTGGTAGAGCGCTGCACTAGTATCGCAGAGGTCAGTGGTTCGAATCCCGTACAGGCCTGAAATTTTTTTCAGGTCTGATTTCCACTATTGCTCAAATAGTGCTTTACTGCGAAGGATCGTTCTTATATACGTCTCATAACCGCAGTTCACTCATATGTTTCATATGTTTGTTGTTGTTCGATTTATCATCTACGGGTTTATATCGAATTAATTTGATGGCCTGCTCCCAGTTGGCTTGTTAGCTCAATTGGTAGAGCGCTGCACTAGTATCGCAGAGGTCAGTGGTTCGAATCCCGTACAGGCCTGAAATTTTTTTCAGGTCTGATTTCCACTATTGCTCAAATAGTGCTTTACTGCGAAGGATCGTTCTTATATACGTCTCATAACCGCAGTTCACTCATATGTTTCATATGTTTGTTGTTGTTCGATTTATCATCTACGGGTTTATATCGAATTAATTTGATGGCCTGCTCCCAGTTGGCTTGTTAGCTCAATTGGTAGAGCGCTGCACTAGTATCGCAGAGGTCAGTGGTTCGAATCCCGTACAGGCCTGAAATTTTTTTCAGGTCTGATTTCCACTATTGCTCAAATAGTGCTTTACTGCGAAGGATCGTTCTTATATACGTCTCATAACCGCAGTTCACTCATATGTTTCATATGTTTGTTGTTGTTCGATTTATCATCTACGGGTTTATATCGAATTAATTTGATGGCCTGCTCCCAGTTGGCTTGTTAGCTCAATTGGTAGAGCGCTGCACTAGTATCGCAGAGGTCAGTGGTTCGAATCCCGTACAGGCCTGAAATTTTTTTCAGGTCTGATTTCCACTATTGCTCAAATAGTGCTTTACTGCGAAGGATCGTTCTTATATACGTATGTCTACTAGTTGTTAAGTTACATTTATTATGTAATGGTCTGATTTTTTCATTTTTTTTTTTTTTGTATAGATTCTGTACCTTTTTTGGTTCCAGTAGTTCAATACAAAAGCTTGGTTTTTTTAAAATTCTGCATTTAAGCTCTTCTAAAATATGATCAGAGGTGTTAAAATATTGTCAGTATTGTAATGTTTTTAATGATAATGATAACAACAATAACTACGATAACAATAATGAGAATGATAGCGTAAACAACAACAATAACAATGACATAAACTGTTTACAATTTTTAAATGTGAATACTGCAGCTTATTGGGATGAACTATAAAATTATTCTAGTGATGGGTAGAGTTGCAAAAAAACAAAGAGCAATATAACGATATATTATTAGGGAATGCTGCCAATATTTTTCATGAAAATCTTGTATCATCAAACATGAAGGTTTTGAAAGGCTTTGTCTGGTGTTATTTCACAATAATGAGGTAGCAAATGATCAAATGTGGTCAGTCATTGTATTTTTTGTTTGAACTAAGTATGTGTTTAATTCTGAGGTACAGGCTTGCTCTTTTCTGGCTGAATTGTTGTAATTTGCACAACAAAACAAAGTGAAAATGTGCAGTTTGTGAAATGAAAAAAATTGGTTATTTACAAAATGAATTCTTTAACTCTGTAATGGCTTTCCTTACTGCAGTGAGTGACTGCTCCTACCTGCATAGCATCAGAGCTGTGATTGTTTTGATCATGATTGTCTGCTACATCTCCACTGCTTTGGCCTTTGCTGGATCAGTTTTGGGTTGTATGACAACTTGCTGTGCCCCTCCTGTAAGTATAGATACATCTAGAGATGTGTAGGATTGAAAGCTTTAAATAATAAATATTGTTGCAAAAACTGCAAACACTACAAGGGAAAATGTCCATTTTATGGGAAGTGGTAGACAAAGAAACATGGTAGATAACAAAATGCAGAGCCCTACTCTCTGGAGTACCCTGTGGATTACCTAAATGGAGTACCCCTACAAATTATGTATTGGTCAAATGAAATACTTTATAAACATGGTGAATCATATATACATTTTATCTTAATGTGTTTTGAGCTTGCTAGCCCTCAGATTGTCACAGTTTGATAAAGAAATATGCCTTTCATGTGCAATTGAACCTCAAATCTAGTTCTTTTGCTGTTGCTGCAGAACAGGCAAAATATTTTGCATTTTAAAGGCAAACAGAGACAAGTTCAAGGTGAGTGCAAGACACGAGTCTTACGCCAGGGATTGAACTCTCCCCCTCATTAATGACTTGCGCCTTGTGCTCACCTAGTGTTGTCTCCATTTGCCTGTAAAACACAAATATTATGTCTGTTCTGCTGTCTAACCAGAGTTAGTCTAGTTTTACTATTAAAATGATATATTTTTGAGGTAAGTATAGTAAAGTCTGTTTACGAGCCTAGAGGCCCATTAGGCCGGTGCTTAACTCCGGTTTCTGTAGCATGAAGCGACTAGGAGTATTTGTACTCCCCTCTGGATGGGAGGCCAGTCCATCTTAGGGTTACCCCCAGCATTAAATTGCCGATACCCATTTATACACCTGGGTGAAGAGAGGCACTGTGAGAGTAAAGTGTCTTGCCTAAGAACACAACACAATGTCCCGGCCGGGGCTAGAACCCGGACCACTCGATCCAGATTTGAGCGCACTAACTAGGAGGCCACCGCGCCTCCGCTATTTTTGAGGTAATTGATGTAAATTTATTTTTAACTTGGACAGTATAAAGTTTTTGAATGCTAACCAGTGACATGATTGAGCAACTCTTTACTTCTTCCAGGATCCCCCTATGGTGGTTATTGCACAACCAGGAATGGGTCCTACTGGCGTGGTGGTCAACCATTCATCCATGCAGGTTGTTGGAGGAGCTCCAATGGCTTATCCACAAGGCGCTTATCCCCAGGGTGCCCATCCCCAGGGTGCCTATCCCCAGGGTGCCCATCCCCAGGGTGCCTATCCCCAGGGTGCCTATCCCCAGGGTGCCTATCCCCAGGGTGCTTACCCCCAGGGTGCTTACCCCCAGGGTACTTATGCTGGACAGGCCATGTATGCAGATCAAACGGCAAAGACTCACGACAAGGCTCCCTTGGTTGTGTAAACTGTCTGCTTTGATGACCCAAGTCATTGTAGTGTCTTGCGTTAGTTTTGTTATTTAGTTTTTTGTCTAATATACTTATTGTAAGTTTCAGTGCATAGCTGATGTCTAACTCTTTGTACAGTCATCAACTAAGGAAAAACAGCTCTTTTTTCTATTTTGTCCACGAGGAAAAACTGATTCAAAATTTTTATATCAGGGATGATTCTAGTTCGTGACTGTCGTCCTCCATCCTTACAGGTGTTGGTGTTTGAATGTTTGAATCAACTTTTTTAAAAGTTTTTCATGATTCCTTAAGTTTCTTTCTGTTCATATGACTGAAAGACGTTTGGGCTTTCCTTTTTCTCAGTGGAATGTCAGGCGAAGGGCCTCGCCCCAAATCATACCAAGGCTTCCTTGTAAAATGGGACTGTTATCAGTCATGCTTATTGAACACTTATTTATCTGAATGCAGTTGAGTGCAGACGGATATTTTTCTCTCCACTGTTTTATGATTTGACAAAGTGGGTTCTTTTTTCTTAATGTTTGTGATTTGGGACTGTACAACGAGATTGCTTTTTGGTGATTTAAGATGCAGCTGAACATTTTTCTGTAGCATTTATAGATCTTGGCATTCTTTTAGACATTAGCTTGTCAAACAGGTTTCATTATGCGTTAGTCATGTTACAGGGGTTACATACATGTTTAGGAAGCTAAAGCTTCTATGACTTCTGTATATTTAAAAACATAAATCTGTTTAGGATATAGTGTTTTTTTTTTTAGGAGAGGATCCTCTTTGTTTAGAAAGTTGCTATAATTGTACTGGATAAGTTTAGATAAGAGTCGAAGAAGTTGAGATGGCCAGGAATAATGAGTGCGGTTTTAATTGTTGCCAGCATTTTTTACCACCAGACGAATGAAACAGCAACCATCGCGTTATTCTGATAACTTGTGTTTTAATCTTATCGAGAGAAAGGCTTTACGGTACGTGTGGCAGTTACTAGATTCAAGTTACAAAATGTAAAGGTTTTTAGTTCGGTTTCCCTATGTTAGGTTTTAAATTTAGCATATATTGCATGTATTTTAGTTTTTTTATAACACGTTTAAAGGAACAAAGCGAGCTTTTAGCGACACTTGATGCACTGGTGATAAAAGTTCAATAAATCGTTTGTTAACTCGTGTCAGACATTTTTTTCGTCTGCAGATACTTATGCCAGAAACTAAGATCTTCAATTCAAAGGGTAAGATTTATTTTTTACCGGTCCCAATTGCAGAAGTATCCACGCAAGACTGTTATCTTAGTTTTGTTTATTTTGCCAAGAGAACGGCAAACCGAAAAAAAAAAAAAAAAATGAAAAAGGTCAAGGGGCGAAGAAGAATGACAGAACACTTCTGATCAACTACGGGTTGCATGGACTTTCTAATTCGTTTACATTTTTACATAGGTCAGCGGACGGTCAGCGGACGGTCAGCGGACGGTCAGCGTGACACGAGTAATTTCCATGAAATTTATTTGTAGTTGAACAGCTGATCGTTGGTCTGCATTGAGTTGCTCGGTTCGTCGCTTGGTATTCCCGGCGGTACCTCAGTCTTGAGCAATGTAGGTGGGTGCCGTGACTATATCCCTCAAAATTTCTTTTTCTTCGGGTCCTTGCCTTCTGTCTTACGATTTTTCTCTCTCTTGTTTACTGTCAACCTTTGACTTTTTTTTTACGTCTCTGGAGATCAGTCGTTCAATCATGACGTCCCGATCCACTTCGGTATTGACTAAGCTCGTTTTGTACGCGCTCGCACTACTTTTAAAGGCCCATTTCCAACCGAGATGCCTTGCGAGCCCGGATCATTTTTCATATATGAAAAATACCCTATTTTCCTCGTATTTGCGGAATCGCTTTGATATCTTCTTCCATCTTACTAATTTGGGCTTTCAAAGTTCCATCTGGAATCATGTGCGATCAACAAACTATCGTAGTATCCGTATCAGTAAATAGTTTTTAATGCTTACATGTATGACGGTGAAAAACGTCATTTGAAAAAAAGTTGATGCCGCCGAAGAAGCGGTCTAGAGGAACGCCAAGTCTGCCCGGCTCAGCAAAGGTTATTCGACTTCGAGAGTCTGTGTATGATTTAAGGAGGGCAAGGAAAACAACCATGGGTGTCGGTAACACTACAGACAGTGCTTTTGCAGAAATGTTATTACATTGTTCTTACGATGGAACTAGAGACTCCGGGGAGATTTTTTCTAGGTGAGAATAATTATTTGACTGATTTTTACTTGAGATCCTGAGATATGTACGTAAGCGATCTCATTTGTACAAGTCATTATTCTATGATTGAAATGCGTAAAGTAAATCAGTTTTGGCCAATATTGGTTATTTGTTTATATTTTATTTAGTGTTGGAGCCGAACAATTTCTTTCAACATTAGGTAAGCTTTACACCATATAAACCATGTAAGTGAATTAAACACTCCAACTAACTTCTACTTTCAACACACTACTTCTGGTAGACGAAACTAGTTTTGAAGTTTTCAGAGTAGTGTGTTGAAAGTAGTAGTTAGTTGGAGTGTTTTTTTCACTTACATGGTTTATATGGCGTTAAGTAATACTTTCTTGGCTTCGATCAGAATAATTTCACAACGACAGGTAAGCTTTGTACAAGTTTTATACACAGACTCGATTTATGAAATTTCAGTCTCAAATATTTAGCTGAAAATTTGTTCACTGTGTTCTTCACCAAATCTTTGTTTTTCTTTTTAATAGTGTTTGTGAATGACTATCAGAGTTCGCCATTTAACAAATTAGCGCGACTCCAAAACAAAAACAAACGACTGCAAAGGATCTCAGATGGAAATGGGCCTTTAACGTACCGGTCTGTTTATTCAATTCCAGGCCTTGATTTTCCAAATATTTGCAGGGGTTGTATTTTTTTTGTACAAACTGTGCCTCATAAGTCTGAAGAACGATCCTTTCAGCCTTGCGTTTCATTGTTGAAGTTTATATGTTGGTTACTTCCATGATCATCATCAATCTATCTGTTCATTTCATGGTAACCTGACGTAAATTTAAAGCTGACGATTCATTCCGGTCATGATGAGGCCGCGGGTCACATCTCGTTGAGCTTTCGAATCTGTCTCAATAGGATCTCATCATAGAATAACGTCTACAGTTTATAACGAAAACAATTTTTCTCATTTTTAAAAATATGTTCTTTCTTTTGTTGTATATTTTAAGTTGCCCTTCCTGGTAAATATGCGGTCAAACAACCCTAACTTGTCAATCAAGACATTATCGCTCGCCCTTGGTACAGTTACACGTCACTAGTTTAAGTTTTTCTCATTTGGGGAGAGCTCGTAACTGACACGTCTGTAATTGCATCATAATTCTGAATTGATAACGTATCGTGATCCTTTCAATAAAGGGTAGACAACAGAGTAAGTGGAAAACCCTGCTTTAGAAACTAAGCTGCTCCAAATCTCAGCAAGTGGCTTACACTGGTGTCGGAATGGGGACAAACTGTAGAAAAGCTCGCGCATAGTTAACGTCACAACCTTAACGGGTAAATGTTGAAAGTTTTTCACTTCAGTTTCCGGTTTATCCTCCAGTTTATAAAGATCAATGACCTTTCTAACTATTTATCTTCATGCTACACCTACTTGTAAAACAGGTACTTTTATACTTCTTTATTTTTTAACAAAAAAGCAAGATTCCACCACGGTGTATTTGTAATTCGAACTTGCAACTGAATCATTTGGTAGTTTGATCATTTTTAGTCAATTAAAAAATCTAAAAGTAATTTTGTCAGGATGTTTTTTTGAAACCATAGATCGATAATCATTTGGCAATGATATTTCCAAAATGTCTATATTTCTTCATCAATCCACCCCGAACTGACTTCAAGTCACTCCGTCCATACTCTCGATAAGGAGCGTTTCATTGTTGTTTCAATGATTTTCAGTTCGCAATGATCTAGGCAATTTCATACTCGGTCGTTCTACCAACGCGGCTCTCCGCCAAACGATATCAGAAGCTGATTGAGCCAGGCTTCTCTACAAACTGGTTCAAGACGGAGAATCCAATGCAAAAGTACTCTGAGCAGAATATCAAAGACGTCCATGATAAAGGCTTCGAAAACTTATGGCTTCGATGCTGGGCACACTTGTGCTCTTAAAATTACACCACGTACCGCTAACTTCTCATAGTTTCTTGGCATCTTGACGCTGGGCCGATGTCAACCACTGCCTGAAATACAAATTGATTTCGATCATCTCCTGGATTCATCACCACGTAGAGGCCTGTGCCACAGAAGATGATCACAACAGTTATGTGTTCTGGTGGACAGCGGTAGCAAGGCAGTTAAAAGACAGGGACTACGGACTCAGTTTTAATGTTTTACCGAACTGGAAATCTATGAATGTGGGAGCAACTATAACGAGAGCCTTCGCAGAAGAAATGACAAATACAGGTGGACGGTGGATGTTGTGACAGAAATCAGAGGAGCATGTGGCAATAATGCCCAGAGAATACTGATTTTGGGATCTCCTGCAAAAACTGCCAAGAATTAAAAACAAAACAAAATCAATCAATTTACTTTAATGATCCCTGGCCGAGTAACACATTTATGCCTCAGGGCAGAACAAAGGTCCCCAAAGGCCAAAGCATGTGTTAGAAAAGCGATTTATGAGGCAACCAATTTCATGAGCGACACAGGTCTACTAACATATTTTGGTGCATGAATGCCACAAAATAATAATGATGGAGATTTAGGTGAGAAAGAAGTCACTTCGTTTCTTTTTTATTGAGCAGCGTACTGTCAACATACCATGGTCTTTGAACGTCTAAGAGTGATACTAAAGAAACGACACGGCTGACGGAAAGACAAATAATGAACGATGGAGCTCTAAATTTTTCCAGACGGTTGAACAACATTCGTGAGGTAATGCCATGAACTTTTAAAGCTTCCACATTTATCATTAATCGCACCTATTGTTCGGGCTTAAGCAGATAAAAACCCACCCCATTACCCGATTTTCTTCCGTTTTATTCGACGAAGATGCCCTAGTGCCTTAGTATTCATTTACCGTGACCTCTTTTTTGTGGCGAGATGATTATATAAAGGAAAGATGGAATTAAAATCCCAACTTTCTCCTCAAAATGAAAAATTTAGATCAACTTTCAAGAATGTACGTGTTGAAAAAGGAACTCAGAAATTCGCCTTCCACAATGAAAGGTCATCGGGTGAAAGGTCATCGGGTGAAAGGTCATCGGGTGAAAGGTGAATGGGTGAGTGAGGGCGAGGGCAGGAGTTCAACTTATTTTACGTTCATTAATTGTCAGAATTTCAACCCCATTCTAGTTTTTTCGTTTGGGATTGAACCAGTAAAACGGAAAAAAATCTCGGTTCCCCATCGCTTACTGTTAAGAAAAATACTTGACTTGAAAATGAAGTTTGACTGCAGTACGATGGGAGGAATAGTTTTTGTTTTCTTTCTATAACCTCTCTGTTCCCCCTAACAATAGGGAAAGACATTCTAAGCCATACGGCATAAAAAGAATCTTAGAATGAAGAATACTTTTATTAAAGTTTCCATGAGTTAAGCCCCAAATCTGACATCCACGCATTTTCAACCTCTGACGGCTAGACAGGTTGTTAAAGGGACATGTCTTCCAAGAAATATAATCAAATAAAATTCTTCCCCTTGTATTTAAAGAATACAACAATAAAAGAGAAGAAAAATTAGGGGGAAATAGCTTTGCCGATCAGCCGTTTATTCCGATGAGATCTCTTAATTCCTTCATCGGAGATAAAAGAATAAACTTCGACTTTCAATGAATATTGAATAAAAAAGTTCTTTCCCGAGTCATCGTGTATGTCAAGAAAGAATTAGGAGAAATGCCATAATTTCAGCTCGGTCAACGAATTAAGGGAGATGTTATTCACTAACTTTGGCACGAGAGTTGGAAGAAGACAAAATATAAATCCCAAAAAGATTGGATTAAGAGACCTGTCTATTCCGCAGGCGGCGTAAGACTAAGTTCTAACATCTTGGCGGTCGGATAGTTCAGAAGCTTGGCTAATTCAATGTTTGTGAATATATGAAAATCATATGTGTGAACTGCGGTTAAAGAAATGGATATTAGAGCGATCTTCGCAGTAATGAACACTACTTAAGCAGTAGAGAAAACAAGGCCTGAAAAAAATATAGGCCTCTACGGGACTGAACCCATGACCTCTGCAAGACCGGTGTAGTTGTTTTATACCCCGGTTTCGTTATGAGTATATCTTGGTTAAAATTAACTGAAGGTGAGAAAGCAATGGTATTTGAACATTAAAACTTAAAAGTCTGTCTTATCTTATTCACGGCTAACACTTTAGCAACATCTTTCCCACAGCGAAGAATTCAAGCTAAGTTAACAGCGCAGAATTCGAAATATGTCATCGTCTTTTCTCAGGAGCTTTAATTTTATCAAGATTCGTTTTGTTTTTCATTATCCTTAGGCGCCTAATGCCGAGCCGAGTGAGATGGTATTCATCATCATGATGGTAAAGTCGACATCATCGCCACAAGGAGGAATAATTGCGATTTGTGTCGAAAGTCAGAGAATTTTGATGCAATTTATTCTAACGTCCCACCGCGAAACCACTCATTGCTTCACTCTGATGATAGGTTTTAATCACGTTAACGAAACGCCGGTAACTGTCGCCGAAAGGTTTTTTTTTTTTTGAGAAATTTGGCTCCCTCACCAAAGGCCCTTTGGTGAGGGAGAAGTGATATTGATATTGTTGTCGGACAACAATATCACTTTATTATTTTTGCAAACTAATTGAAAACTGGTTGTTAAGGACACGCTTGTTATGGTCACACTTATCCTATGGCATACCTGTGACAACCAGCACCATATCCTTCCAAACAGAAGTAAATGAAAATATGGTGGATAGATACGGTTGTTCTAGTTTCAATAGGTTGGAATGTCGGCTATCCGACAGGTGTGTACCGCCCGCTGTTTTTCTTAGCTTTTCCAGACGTCTTTTCATGAAAATTGCAGAGTTCGAATTCTTATTTCGAGGAAATTCTTCGAAACCATCAATTTCTAGCTTGTCTTTTGAGAAAAGATCTACAGATTAAAAGTAAAAGATAAATTTATCGCAAATATTTCAGCTCAGCAGTTTAGTCTGCGTGTACCAGTGAGATCACCAAGTGGGCCACTTCTTACTTGACAATGGAACAGATTTTTTTACCATACTTCAGTCATAAATAATGATGAAAACTGGGAAAAAGAGTTTGGGTACAGGCTCGTCTTCTCCAAGTTGTCAAGAAAGCGAACGATATACCTTTGATCTCGGTTGTCCACAAGGAGACACATTTGAAATCAAGACAAAAAAAGACTATGTGGTAATTCGTGGAGCAATAGGAGGAAAGCTCAACTCAAGGGAGGAAAAACTAATTAATTTAGCGCGGTGACAAGTGCCAAATATCTCAAGGGGACATCATTCATTTTGTGAAATCTACACCTGCGAACTGGTCACGGAGATAATTCTACCCTGTCTCTAACACTGATTCAGTGATGAGTCATTTAAAAGACAAAGTATAAAGAGCACCAAATTCTTCTTTATTACTTAACATTCTTAGCTCACGCCTGGTCGTGGAGCCTGAAAAAAGAGGCATAGGGTAAGTTTAACACAACCCTCGTGGTCCCGTTTCCCTTTGAGATATAGAAAATTTAGGAAAAATTATCAAACATTGCGGAGAAAAAACAAAAAAGAACACCTAAGTTAGCCAAGTAGTCCTGTAAATCCTGTAAGGTAAGTTTAACAACTGATATGATCATGATCCTATTTCTTTTTGAGACAACGATTTAGGTTTGAGTTATCAAACATCAAACATCAAAGACCAGGGCCAGCCAAGTAAGGTAAGTTTGTTCTTCGTCGTGATTCTGTTTTCTTCGAGAGAGAAGATTCAGTGTACGTAGAGTTATAAAACATTATGTCCAAAAGAAAAAAACAACACCAAAGTTAGCAAAGGAATCTTATAAAATTTTAAACTGTCATCAATTGACTTAGGGCATCATACCCATAGAGGCCAGGTCTTTCAAATTCCTGGGTTAGTGACCTTTTGCTCAAATGTGAACTATTTTCAAACAGTTTTGTTTCCGTCCACATTTTACCTGCAACCGCCTTCCAAATGAACTTCTGAGAGCCTTTACTTTTCTTTGACGAGCTTAATATATCTTAAAAAGTATTCTATAACGTGAAGAGCCTGTTCTTTCCTGTTCAAAGCAGTGGTGGATCCAGAGGGGAAGGGTCCGGGGGATCTGCACCCCCCCCCTATCAGACCAGACGCTTACAATTTTGAGACTGAAATTCTTACATCCGCAGGATTGCATATCACTTTTTAACTGGCTGATTTTTTAATTAATGAATTCAAGTAAACGGTAACCGGCCAAGGAATTATAACGTGCAACCGCGACTGGTGGGAGGGGGTGTGGGGAGTGTGGGGGAGAAGTAATTTGCCTCAAAAGAGTCCAACAGTCCTTTCTGAACCAAAGTTTGGACCCCCCAATCAAAAATTCCTGGATCCGCCCCTGCAAAGTAATATTACTTAATCTGCGTAAGTTTTAAGTTTTGATATTTTCGTTTTGTTTTATCACTGCCTTTTCGGCTTTTTGTTTTTTTTTTTTATATGTGGGTGTTTTGAGGATTTTTAAAGCGGTAAGTTTAATTTAGGCAAGGAGCCTGCCTCCGTTGTTTCTTAATTCTTGCATAATTTCTTAATTCAGGGTTAGTTTCCACTGTATACGTATTGCGTTTTGCAATACATTTTTTTCGATAAAAAGTATGGTCTGAAATTTTTCCATATTAAATGTACAAAGTTTGAATATTCCTTAGAGATCTGTTTCATTTTGACGACTACGATCTCAAAGCTTTCTAAGCATTCCTTTCATGGTCTTTCTTCCTTTTTCTTCTCCGGCAGCTTCGATCGATTTTCTTTCAAGAAATAAGAATATTTTGCTCTTCAGAAAATTTGATAAATGTTGTTGATACAAACGATGCAAGTATGAAAATCATCTAACCTTCGTTTATCTGACAATATGATTGAAATAATTAAGAACTACCATTATTCCTTTCCGTTGGGATTTCGGTGCCTATTTTGAAGAAAATCATCTTGTGAGGTGGCTTGACAATTTTTTGTTAGTCACCTCTCTGAGTTCGGCGTAAGAGATCCCCCTCGATCATACTCAGTATTGGCGAGGCTTTCCAATCTTAAGTCACCTTGGGGTTCAATCTGTTCTTTGAGCTCATGAATCATGAGCTACCCTACACCACTTCTTTGGGAACTCTTAGGCAGCTGTTGCCCGTTTGAGCATCATGCAATCATTAATTATCACTGCCAAAACTGACTCGTATTTTCTTTATTTATTACCTACATATTCCTGATATGGTTCAATTAATGGTGATCATTCGATTGGACTTATTATTACCCATCAACAGGCCCAAACAGAGAAGATGTTCGGCACCCTGATTCTGCTTCAAATACCCCCCCTGTTCCTGACGGTCTTCATAACCTGCGTTCGAGGTGAGTCTTTTGTCACTTTAAAGTAGTACCCCTGCGGGTTAAGCAAGCTAGCAAAGCGCTATACCCAAGAAAATTTGGTATGAAAATATTAAAATATGGTATCATAAATCATATAGCCAAGATCGCCGAACACAGTAAAATACTTCTACTCAAAATATGGGAACTACACTTGCAACTATCCAATAATTTTCATTCGTCAATTTTATCAAGTTTGGTAATGTAAATTGGGTACCTATAGAGTTTCTAAAGCTGACTTTTGACCTGACGCACAACGTTTGGAGACGGATCTTCATTTGCCATTGGTGTTCATCAAGGGCATCAAAGTTTTGCCTTATGATCAAAATAATCCGGTTTAAATCCGCTTAACAGATCCTAGAACCCGACAGAAAGTCTTCGATAAAAATAGGGTTGCGCTGGCATTTGTCTCTAATTGTCTCAAACCCAAGAGAAGTAGTTAATATCAAGGCTTTGGCGAATCGATTGAGTTTCACGTTTTCATGCAAATGTGATATGATGAGTCAAACGAATATATACTTCACTTGCGATATTGAAATGATATTTAATTGCCGTCAAGGACGTATATATAGAGAAGAAAATTTCTACGAACGGACTGCTGGCTTAGATCCCTAACTATTAGGAGTATGTTCTGAATAAAAAAGGTGAAAGAACGTCATTCAATGTAAATCTGCACGTACTCTTCTTTTTTCAGCCCAAGCTCCACCTGATTGCCCTTATGATACGACATTTGACTTTGAGAGTGCGGCACAGTTGAGATGCTTTCAGACTATTGTCTCGCCGGCGGCTGGAACGATAACCCTTTCTAACCATAAAAAGACTGTCAAATATGGATCATCATCTCTGAAATGGGAAACCACTGGTGCATCAAAGTTGCAGTTGAAATCGCCAACGTTTACCATTCCTAACAGTTGTCTGGGAGATGGTGGCGTCAAAGTCTGGATCTACAAGGAATCGATGTCAGAAAAAACACTGCAAGTGGAATTCAAATATTCTTCGACCACTGTTGGAAGTTTTATCGCAAATGACTTTCAAGGATGGCGTGGGATTTGGGTGGAATTTAAAGAATGCAGGGCAGCGGACAATAGCTTAGATAGCCCAACTGTTATCGATGAGGTCAACTTTATTGGAAACGGAGCTCAAACCGATTTTATAGACAAGCTGGAGTTTAAGTGTAATATTAGAAAGCAATCACGGGACAAAGTTGTTCCCCCAATTGAGCCATTTGGTTTGGATTGGTACGACAAAAGCGACTTTTGGCAACAGACTTATCGGTGGAGTCAGCAGGAAATCCCGGCGTCACCAAGTACTATTGACGTAGAAAAAAGAAACCATTTGGATCATATCAAAATCCGCCTAAAGAACTGGTATTCGGATGAGACTGTAACGTCACCTAACTACCCCAGTGGAAGCGCTCTGGAAGAACGATGGAAGACCCTAAAGAAAAGTTTCAATAGAGCACATGATAAATACGATGATTTAACCTTTGATCCGGAAACTAAAGAGATTGTAGGACCTCCTTTGTTTTGCAGAAATTGTGAACCCAATGATAAATTTGGAGATATCATGATTAAAATTCTCCTACCACTAACACTAGAATACCATCTAAGCTCGCGTACAAACGAAATAACAGCAGTTGCCACAGAACAGCGGTCAAATTTAAACAATGAAAGTAAGAGAGAAAAAGCGATAAAGACCATTGCAGGAAAAAACAACAATATGAAGGCATTTTTTGAATCGTATTTGCCTGACTCTTCAACACTGACTGTGGATCAAATTAAGGCTGCAATAGAAACCCTTAACCTTCATCGGCTAAGTAGGATAAACAACCTTCTTGATTTCGCAAGGGATCAAGGATTTACAAATGGCAGTGGTTTGGGATCCCTGGACCATGAAATGAACCTGGATGGTGCTGGGTTCATGCACTCTCTGTTTCTCCTCAGTGACTCGCTGGGTAATCCTCTCAACCAAAGCAGATTACGGGATTTGATAGCGTCAGCAAAATGGTACAACGACTTTGGAGAGATCTATCAAACGCCATCTTTTGAATTCAAAGGAACGACTGCTGACCGTATGATTACGCTAATGCTGTATAGACTTATTATTGTACTTGTGATGCCGACTAATACTGATGATGAAATCAAAGCTAAAATCCGTGACATGGATGCCTTGAATCGGTGGCAGAATAACCCGTTGTCTATCAATTAAGGTCTTGGAGGACTAATAAAACCAGACTACTTGGTGTATCACCATAAATCGTTCTACGGATCAGCCTACGGTCCACCAGCCCTTCATAACGCAGCTCTAGTTCAATATCTTCAGGGAGGAACTAAGTACGCCTTATCTTCGACAAGCGTGAACCATATCAAAGGAGGACTAGAGGCACTACGACTCATGGCAGTCAAGTACTCCACTCCACCCAGTGTAAGCGGACGTTACCCAGAATACTCAAACAAGGTTCTTGTGAAGAATCTTCCTGCCTATGCATACATCAGTGTATCTTATCCGTCTACTTTACCGACCTCAGTGCCAACAGGTGTAAGTGTAAGCAGTTTGAATAATCCAGAATGGTTCCTGCGGTTATACAATGACTCAACTGTCAACAGTTATCTAGAGGATGGAGCGCCAAACAAAAAAAAGTACTATTTCAACAGCCTGGGATCTTTGCAGATAATGGAAGCAGTAAGTACATAAATTAATTCGAGATAGTTTGAACTGGTTTATGTTAACATTGCATGATTTACTTACGGTAAATCATCTTAGGTTTTATCTATAGTACAAAATTGTAATGACGATGACCTTCTTAGCTTTGCAAAAGATGATGCTATCAGCACCTTCCGTGCTCTACATACATCATTTCCCCAACTGAAATGTAGCGTAACAAAAAAGTTGAACTTCCATGAAGCATTTGTCACTCAAATTGGAACATGCTCAAACTGTTATGTTTGTGTGCTTTTACGTTAATAGGTTAAATCATCGGCAGTATCACAGGGCAAATCGCAAGAGCTGTACCTTGAAGGTCATTGGTCCAAGAACTTCGCCGCTCTTTCTATACATCGACGTAAGACTTGGGCAGTGACTGTAAAAGGTTTCAATAACTTTGTCTGGGACTATGAAACTTCAGCGGACGAAAATGTGCTCGGGTTATTTGCCAGTCATGGTGCCGTCCTTATCGCAAATAATGAAACATCCCTTCAGTGTCATGATATTGAAAACGGATGGGATTGGTCTAAAATTCCTGGTACTACTACTATCGCCTTAGGGAATTCGAACATAGATGACTTAAATATTGGTAGAACCGGAAGATTTTACAATAAACGCAAATTTGCAGGAGGACTCACTTTTAAGGGGACAATGACCTCGAAGAGCGGACTGTTTGGCATGAACTTTGAGCAACCGGAATACGATGTATCAGGATGGCGAGGGAGCATTAGCTTTAGATTCCAAAAGTCAGTTTTCATGTTTGAAAACCTTTTAGTTGGCTTGGGAAGTAACATTGTACTTCAAAATAATAACGGGAAAATTGCTCAAACAACATTATTTCAAGACAAACTGTCATCTTCGTCTTTTATCAAAGTTGATGGAACAGAAAAGGTTACATCGACTGATTACAGCCACAACCCGTCGTCATCCTCAAGCACTACCCTTACAGACGCAAAAGGAAACCTGTATTACATACCCATGAACAGTAGTCCCATGTTAAAGGTCACCATCGCAACGCAGACATCCAAAAAAGAGGATGGAGAAACGAGCACATCTGGAAGATATGGTACGGCGTGGTTTGAACATAGCTCGGCAAACCCTAGCTACGAGTACGCTGTCTTGATACCGACTGCATCGTATCATGCTCAGCTGAGTGACTTGAAAACCGCCCAGGACACTGAGAATAACGAGGTCTACAAAGTCTTGAGGAAGAATGCTGGTGCACACGTTGTTCAATTTCTCAAATCACCCAGGTCTTGGTCAACCCTCAGTCATCCTGTTACAGGTTACGTCATGTTTAGCGATGAGAGTGCTTTGCCAGATGATGGGCCAATAACGGCAGTGACCTCTGGAGATTGTCTTCTAATGGC